ACCCTTTGTTTAATTATGGTCTCTAAAATCCCGGTCCGTATACGTCAAACAGTAAATTAACAATTAACGTTATAAGAAAAGCCGTGTCGGGAACAAAGAGACGTAGGTGATTTCATGTTACGAACTGAATCTCCCTGCTGTCAAAGAGCATCAATTATTCTAGCCTTTTCCTGATCGGTGCAATGCATGTCTATTTTTGTTAATATCAGCAACAATAAACAATTTACCCAGCTTTATATATTAAAAACCTTATTTTATGATGTCGAGTAGTTGTTTAGTTTAGTTATCTTGTTCTTGAGTATTTTATTAGTGATTATTTATTTATAAGTAATACTATACCCAATAAATAGTTAATAATATTAAAATAAAAATTATAGTAGACTTACATTTTAAAATATGTTTAGAAAATAAATACGCTTTCGTAAGTTTTTGAACAAAATTTATAAAATTCAGACCGATATATAATCTAAATTATTTCTGCTGGAATTCAAATAACTAAACCTGTATTTAACCAAAAAATGTAACTTCTCTTAATAACAAAAAGTTAGTTTACGTGTAACACTACTACATATTTAACAATCTCTTTATTACAATAATGAATCAGACATTAATGTATAATAATTAAAAGTATTAAATTAAAATCACGACAATGAACAGGTTACTATACTACTGGAAGTAGCATGCCATTGCGAAAAGTGTGGCTGAGAGACAGACAGTATCTCAGACACGCTGTCTCACTCTAGCACGCCGCGATTGGTTGGAGCATTCATTTCCAACCAATCGCGGCGTGCTAGAGTGAGACCGCTTGTACTGAGGTACTTTTTGTCTCTCTCGCACACTCAGCCACAATTTTCGCAATGGCATGCCTCCAGTAGTATCTGCTCGAAGGATTCGCCATATTCTTAGCGACTTTTCCTAGGGTGGAGGTAAGTATTTAAAAATTGCCATACGTAATTCATTCATAAATCATACTGATTGATTAGTATAGTATGTGATAGAGATATATGATAATTGAATTAAGATGTTGAGATATTTGGTCTACATACAGTAATCAACAATTAATTATTATTACAAGAAAAAAAATTAAGAAAATTATCTTTATCTTTTACGTTTATAGTGTATAATATTATTTATTAATTTTACATTTTCATTTGCAATTTATATATTTTATTCATTTTTGAAAACATTAGTTATTTTGTCTGAAATATTTTGTATATATGAAATATAAAAAACGGGTCATCCTATTTATAAATCATGTTTGATACATCTTTCCAAAACGCTCCGTATACTTCATAATATTTTTAAAATGTCCTCTTTAAGGCACCGCTCGATGCCCTAATAAAATATGTATTTTCTATCTATATGACATGGGAGTAATATAATCACTATTAGTCCACCCTGTATGTATTGATTTAAGACAACATTTATAAATGAATATCTCTAATACAGGAAAACACTAAATATGCAGGTATGTGGATGTAGTGAACAATGGTTAAAATAGTAAACGGTTTATAACATTTTATTTTTAAAAAAATCTTCAATATAATTATTTAACTAACCAAGAAATGTTACAATACATTACATATCATTAATAAAATAATATTTAAAAAAATATCAAATGCAACTGGTATCAGATTAATTATTTACCCTATCGAATATATCAGAGTTTTTGGTGCCACGGTGTAGTATATCTCCACACCCCACTCCCAGTCCGAAACATTCCGTAATTATTTGTGGTGGGGCGCGATAGAATGAGAGCGACCCAACTAGTGGGGACTTTAAGATGCCCATCAGTGTACATACTGCCTAGCGCTAGCTCTTTGGTCTTCAATTGATATCGGAAAGACTATACCAGTACCAATCGTGCAATGTTGCGTTGACTAAGCTCGGCAGTCTCGTGGCTTGTAAACATTGTATCCATAGTTTTAAATCAGTTTGAGACTACTACAGAAACAAACCTATTGTTAACCTATTACAACTAATAGTGAAGAAATAGGAATGTTTATATTTAATATTTACGAACTGGGCTTTTAATGTACCTATTTCTGGGCAAAGCATAAAACGACGCTTTGTAAAGAGTAAAAAATAAAACGAGTCATATTTGTGTTTTAAACACAAACAAGCAGACACTTAAAAGGTAAAACCACTAAATACTCTTAATTTTAATTGGTCCTAATTAGTTCAATCTACTCGTACTGCTCCCAGATATTACAACGTTGTATACACGCTGTTCTAGAAAGAATATAAATTATCCTATGTCCTCCCCACAAACTAACATAAAAATAAACACGATTCAGTCGAATCGACCCCAATGCTATTCGAAAGCATGCCATCCAAAGTATTTACTAGACCAGGAAAATAAGCTGGGAAATGACAATTTCGCGACTTTTTGTTTCGGCAAGTTGAATTTATCACTATTGATGCTAAATATTATGTACAATAACATATTAGTTTCCACAGTCATAAAAATGGGAGGAAGATTGTTTACAGGGTGGTTAATTGTATAATTTTTAACATAAATTCACGTTTTTCGCTTATAACTTTTTTCCGTTCATTTCACGAGAAAACAGTAAAGTACTTTTTTTTCGTCTTCAAAAGACCTACAAAACTAGCCCTCGAGCGTCAAAAAATATTGATTAGATCAAAAGTTATAAACAGAAGAAGTTTATTTATGACTTTTGAATTAAAAATTTATAAACTGCGTTATTATTACCAGAACATTTTGACATCGCATCCTCTCATTCCAAGTTGAATAATTTACAAGTTATGACTTCATAAACAAATTAACTAATTATTAGTCTGGACGATCCCGAGAATCTTCCACAATCGCACTGATTTTGTTCATGGTAGATTTCATAATATCATTATATTTCATTGAAATCTACCATTTTTTTTTTTAATTTCAAACCTTGACCTTGTGGAGCTCAGCTGACCTCAGATTTGGATTCTTCGACCTCAAAAACATATCCATGATTTTGTCAGACTTTTCCATGGCTTTTTCTGCATTTGACCTTCAAATGACCTTGACNAAGGAAAAAATTTTATCGAAAAAAAAATTATAAGAAAAAATGTCATAGGGGTTGATTATTTCAACCCCTTACAAAAATAGTTCAGGGTTGAAAAAATTTCAAAAAGTGTAGTTTTATTGACAGATAATGTTCACCAAGTTTGGTTTCTTTAGCTTGATGTACGTGGAAGATAAAAAAGAAAAACAATTTTTTTTTGTAATTTTAGGAGGGGCGTAACTTTTCAGGGGAGGGTTTTTTCAAAAAATTTTATACCAAAGACCCCTATTAATTTTCATCGGAGAATCGCCCCTTGATTTTTTCGGTGTTATTTAGATACACCCTGTATATTAGTGCTTGCCTTGCCAGGAAAAGATGAGGAAAGGTGATTAGTTTAGGACAATTTGTCAATAACTGAAATTTATGGCCCAGTCGCCCAGTATGGCTGTGCTTGTGCGGCGTTTGCCCGCGCGCATTCAAATGCTCATATACATTTCTACCACCTCCACGTTTAGTTCGACCAGACTTGTATATGGCTAAATAAATATGGGAAGAACCAAATGACCTTTGGATGACCAAAGTGGGATTAATTCAAGAGCGATTTTCTCAGAAACCGTTAAAGATAACGATTTGAAACAAGAGTACCGTTTTAACGTAAAACAGTTCGAGAACACGGAATTTGCTGTCCAATTTGTTAAAAAGTCAAAGATGAAAAAGTTACACACGCAAAGTACCAAGGGGCCCCCCGTACCCACCCCAATGGACCTTGTGGAAATAAATGGATTAGTCCACCAAATTGCTCATCAAAATTTAGCTGTGTATACCAAATTTCATTCATTTATCACAACGCGATTGAGAGATATTGCAAAAAAATGATTTCCATTCCTCCCTCTTCAATGGGCCCCTGTGCCCTTAAGAAGCATTTCCGGACCCATATTCATATGAACTTTTTTACTTAGTTTTGATCATAGAATCGGCCTGTTCAGGGTTGGCAGCTAATTATGAGACACCCTGTATAAGTAAATTATTATAATTTTTTACCTTTATCAGAAAACTTTTTACGGACGCCTATGTAACTCATTAAATTTTATTGCTAGGCGTTTTTTTACAACTGACTTCGCAAAGACTACCTATTTCTGAGCAAAGCATAAAACGATGCTTCGTAAAGAGTAAAAGATAAAACTTGAGACATATTTGTGTTTTAAACACAAACAAGCAGACACTTAAAAGGTAAAACCACTAAATACTCATAATTTTAATTGGTCCTAATTAGTTCAATCTACTCGTACTACTGCTCACAGANGGGATCGTCCAGACTAATAATTAGTTAATTTGTTTATAAGGCCATAACTTGTAAACTATTCAACTTACCAATTCCAGATTTCGTGTGAGTTATTAGACAGTGATAAGGAATGAGAGGATGCGATGCCAAAACGTTCTGGTAATAATAACGTAGTTTATAAATGTTCAATTCAAAAGTCATAAACAAACTTCTTCTGTTTATAACTTTTGATCTAATAAATATTTTTTGACGCTCGAGAGCTAGTTTTGTAGGTCTTTTGAAGACAAAAAAAAAGTACTTTACTGTTTTCTCGTGGAAATGAACGAAAAAAAGTTATAAGCGAAAAACATAAATTTACGTAAAAATTATATAATTAACCACCCTATAAACATTCTTCCCCCCATTTTTATTACTGTGGAAACTAATATGTTATTGTACATAATATTTAGCATCTATAGTGATAAATTCAGCTTGCCGAAACAAAAAGTCGCTTACAAATTCTATATTTCCTGGCCTATACAAGCTCATCAATAAAACCATGTTAGGCTATATGCAACCAGTATTACAAGTTAAATGAACGGAACTAATTATGTCGGCGTTAACCGAGGATTTCCACTTAACCTGTATTATCAACCTCTCGACTAAACTCTCAGGAATTACAGATAGATAATATTATCGACCGGCATGCACGGTGTAAATTTAAAATCTTATCTCCGACCGAAGACTGGGTTTTATGGACAATTAAAGCTACCATGTGAGTCACAGTTTTACACGTCTAGTCAGAAGCGCGTGTAGTTTGTGTACTCATCTAGTCTTGTTTACCACATAAGAATAAAATAAATGCGGTAACTCCGGCAAAGTTAAAAAAAATGGCAGGCAACACGGGCATGGAACAACTTATACCGATTGTGAACAAATTACAGGATGCCTTTACGCAGTTAGGAGTCCATTTGACATTAGATTTACCTCAAATTGCGGTAGTGGGAGGACAGTCGGCAGGAAAGAGCTCCGTTTTAGAAAATTTTGTGGGCAGGTGAGTGATCTCTTTCGATTTTCGTTATGAGGAATGCCGGACGGCGCGAGTTATTTTTAAAAAATAAAGTAAACTCCTGAGAGGAGCTTCTCTAGGTATTTATAAACGATTTAACCTTCAATTGATTGTCGTTTATCTGATAAATATGTGTCGTTTTTATTCAAATGTGCAGCAACGGAGATAACAAACAGCACGACATACATATCAATTTTACGGGAAACAATTCTGAGCAGATATAAAAACAGTAAACAGTGCGAATATGTTTTAAACTACAGTCGTTGCTATTCTTGTTATTTACTAATCTAGCGTGGATGTAATGAAGCAATTCCTAAAAATATAAAATCTTGATCTCGGTGTAACAGCACAATAATTGGAAAACAATAGAGGATTAGCTAAAACAATTTACAAAATTGTTTACAGAAACCAACATCATTGTGTTTGCCTAAGCGAAAATTTAATTGTTTCTGATGTATAAGCGTATCATTGATATATTTTGTAAGACTGATAGATGAGAAATGAAAGTTAATTTCATTTTATAATGATACAAGTTTTGTTGTATTACATTAAGTTTTGCTTGATGCAGTAATAGAATTGCAGAAAATTATAGAACTAATTTTGTCGATTAAATGAAATCACAGAGCATATCCTTGTGGATGTTTAAGTTTTTAAACAAAAAAATAGTACGCTTATTTATTTACACATTGTGTCTTATTTTCAGTTTTTTTTATACATCCAATAATTACAGCTATGTATACTACTCATAATCGGTACGAATTTATTTTACTTTATACCTATTTATTAAACTTTCAATGAAAATTTGCAATTAAAAAAATTAAATCTCATCCGTTCAAAAATTTACTAGTATATTAGCACCATAAATAATGTCTACGGATAAAAAATATCTTAATTTAGATATTAAAGTTTTCTTACGGGAAACCGATATAAATTAAAACCATGATTTATTACTTTTTCTCATTTAATCTACTTGTCGCGGGTAGTCCAGAACATTATCGGAACAAACACTATTTCAAATTTTGACACTTCTACGAAATGTTTCGAGATGGAAGTTCAAATACAAATTAATATAAAAAATTGCTAACATTAATATTAATTATGTTTTTCCATGTATTGCACTAATAAACACATATAATTTCTTTTAATTTACTAATTATTGGACAAATATAGATGCAAAACATGACAAATAAAATTTATACGATTTTTTTAAATCTTTACATATCGAAAGAATAAATTAGGTTCTTGGTTATTAGTGATGTCATAGGAAAAAATTAAATTAAAACATTCGATTTTGTTTAGAAAAAGTTGAAATACTAAAGGGCATATTTAAAAATCATACTATCTTTGTTTACGGTCCTACTATTATTTTATTCTTTTTATTAGATCCACATTAAGCCACTTGGCATGAAAAAGAAGTACCTAACACAAAACACAAAATCTTTTGAACTTTTGTCATGAAATATATGTAGTTGTCAAAATGACCTTCTGTTCAGAAAATAACCGAACTTTATGTTTTTAACTTTATTGGCCTTTAAAGTCTATGACGAATTTGCTTTGTTTTTGATGTCAATTGGCGATTTACACGCACCAGATCTTTGACTTTTTGAATGTGGCAGTCATTAATTCAAGTCGAAGGCCTTCCTGGTCGAGGATCATCTCCAATTGACTAACGACCATTTTTAGATCGTAAAAACAATTATAACCTAGAGCATCATCCCCGTAAGCTTGTTTCAAAAGGTGAGACGTTTCTCTGAAATTTTCCTCAGTTTCACGCAAAATTTTAGGTTGCATCGTTGTTCCAGAAAAAATCGTCACTAAACTTAAACACGTACTTAAATAACAATATCGCAATGCAATACTGCCAACCGCATATTACTAAATATCTCCACTAGCGCGTACATAATTCAAAAAGTTCGGTTATTTTCTGAGCAGACCTCGTATAACTTTGAGACCATTATGAGTTTGTTGTTTTCAGATTACCGGAATAATTTTAAAATATATACATATTATAGACTATTTTTTGGGGAACATTATATAAACTATACAAAAGGTTAAAACGTGCAAAATAAAAAGTTTTAAAACGTGTTACAGGTCTCTAGAATATACGAACATGTTTGTATTTATTTAGCTACCTACTACAAAATAAATCTCTATTATTTACCAAACGTGTCAAAATAGGTTGTTAAATATCGTACGTATGATACTCTTATTTTTAGTTTTTTCTAACGAGCAGTTGGTTGAGTCACTAACAGTAAACAAGTAATTAACAGATATTAACGACCAATAACTTCTAATTGAATTTCCTTGCAGGGATTTCCTCCCAAGGGGCTCTGGAATCGTTACCAGGAGACCCTTGATTTTGCAACTGATCAATTCCAAATTCGGTAAGTGTTGACAATTATAATCTAGTAATAGTTATAATAATCCGGCGAGACATTTATTAGTTGATTCACAGTAATGTATCAAGGTATGAGTAAATACTGAAAAAGTTATTTATTCTGTGTATTCTTGGTAAAATATTTTTCTGTAGATTTAAAGAAATCAGTAAAAAAGCAAATTATTCATCACTGGCGCATCATTCATTGGGCAAAAAGGAGGTTTGCCTAGAGCCCACCGACAAGGGATTAAACTACTCTTTTTACACAGTCAAAAATATATTTTATGAAAAAAAAGATTTATGATAAAATTATTTCTATAATTTGGCGAATGCGCCAGAGACAGCATAAAATTTCGAAAAATATCACGTATCTCCTTGCTCCATAGCTTAACTAAAGACAGTTTTTGAAAATGAATTTAATAGGGGTGAATTAGTCTAGAAGAACTTTTTTAAACTCTTTTCTTAGGAATCTGTCATAATACGAATTGTTCAAAATCTAAAATCTATAAATAAAAATATCCAAAATGTAATACCGTTGGTAAGGTAAGTTTTGCTCAAGTTCTACAGTTCTGTAAAACAAAAAAAATCGAAAATTATACAGTTAAATTACTTCTTTTACGCGTTTTTCATGCCGAGAGAAAAAAATGAAAAAAGAACAAAAATCTACTTCTTATCCATTTCAAAAATTATTTGGGAGTCTAAATTCTCCAGATTTTTTTCAGATTTTTCTTATGGACAGATATTTTCTTATAATGAAAATTCTCAAACTATAAAATTTAACAAAATTTAAATAAAAACATTCAAATGTATGTACATTTCTCTTAAAGACATTGTAATGACATTTCTCCCCAAATTCTATGATTTGGCAGAAAAAAATTAAAGTAGAAATTCAGCATTTTTTTTTATTTGCTTAACGGAAAGATATTACAATTTTAAGGTTCTTCGCAAAAAATTAGAATTTTATATCGCTTACAAGTCATCCAAAAAAAAAATCATAAACTGGCCGCGCTGTGTATCTGCTGAACCGGTGGGTGTGACATCACCGCATGGGAAACCGACGCCGCATGCTTACGTGTGTTGTCAGTCAGTCGGTTAGTCGGGTTTTAGTTGCCTGTTAAGTTTCGATTGAGTACGTTAAGATACCGAATTTTGTTAGCAATATGGAAGACACAGAACAGAAAAAAATTACAAATATGTATTAATATTGTATTGTTTCCCAGTGTGAGAACACTAGTGTGAAAACGCCTAAGAAAATAATAATGTCTCGGTAATTCTGTCGTGCAGAAACTCATCTGGAAGTAACGCCAAGCCAGCTGACCGTCCCATGCGGTGACGTCATTGCACTGCCATTTTAAAAACCATATAGTTTGAAAACCGCTCAACGGATTGAGTTGAAATTTTCAGGATCGCCTAATCTTGAGTAATACCTTGTGTATACAAAATAAGAACGTTTTTGAAAATTTACTGAATGAGCCCATTAAACAATTGTCATATTCAAATTTATTCGTTTTTTTCGAAAATATTTCCTAGAAACTCTTGTCGATAATTAAATTTTGTATCGAATGAGATCAAAATTAATCCAATCCGGTTGAAAACGTGATTTTAAAAGTTTATCGATGTTCACAGAAACTTTTTGTGTAAAATTTTATATTTCAGAGTTTGCTCATTTCGTAAGGGGACATCCTATATATTACCTATACATAAATAAACAAAACCCGTATTAAATAATCTGGTCTGACAACATATTAGCCCATCGGGCAAATTAATTTTTTAGCCTCATGTAACAAGAAAGTTAAAATTCAATTTTACAAATTCATTTTAGGACGCAAAATGTCATTCAAACATTTTTGGGTCATAATAAGGCTTCAAAGGTATTAATGGAGTGATGTCACACGCTGTGAATCACCCCGAATAAAGCGTGACTGTTCTCTAATCAGTTCTCGACTGATATAACTGTTCTTTATACTGGGTGTCTCGTAAAAAATCTATAGCTATAACTTCGCCATTTATTCCGATTTTAAAAAACAAAAAATTAATGTTAATTGTTTCAAAAATGTTTAAAAAATATTACAAACTGGCACTCACTACCATATCATTTCAAGGTTTACCTCAATGATAAGCGATTGTCAATTGTTTTTTTTCCTTTTTTCAAAGAGAACGATATACAATTTTTATATTTTTTATTTAACCCGGGAGAATTTTTTTATTAATTTCGTAATATTAAATTTAGGGTAGAAACCTGAATATACAAGATTGAATTGTTAATTTGGAATAATTTAATTTGTATAAAATAAATTTAACGATTACAAATTAATAAAAGTAGGCCAATTTTTTCGAAAATTGGTATTAGAGACTGCCTTTTACTTTTGAACAACTTTTCTTAGTAAATTATTTCCATATCTTCACTAATAATTGCACCTTACTCTTGTACCATTTAATTTTTTTAAATTTATTGAACACCTACAAGAAATGTTAAATTTTTCTTTCCCAATCTTACTTTAAGAACCAGCAACATTTTTTATCAAGAGTACCTAACTTTTTTCGACAAAATGAAAAATAAGAAAGTTTTTCTTATTCAACACCTTTTCTGAGGACATACTGTATAAATATATTGCATTTAACTTTATTATAACCTATTAAATATAATCATATTCTATTTTCTTATAACAAACACAAATTGTGTTAAATACTGTAAATACCAATAAAATCTCATAGATAGTCTAGAAAATTTCTATATATTGTAGCTCTTTTTTTGAAACTTTGTAACATATTTTTGTGAATATTTATAAATTTTCTAGATATTATCTTGGTTACGTACTTGAAAAAATATTTACTACAAATTATTACACTCGTAAATTTTATTTAAACAATGATTACATTAATTAAAATTGCAAAAGGAACGTATTTTTAGGAAGAAAATAGTACAATTTTAAAAGACAAATAGTAGGTAATCAAGTGTTATAAATAACCGGATTTGAAAAACATTATTAAATGACTTTTACATATTTAAAAAAAAATATCAATTTTTCATAATTTGTTTTGCCTATAATAATTATTCACAACCATGATGAATAGTAACAACAACACTTAATAAGTCTGCATATGTCACAGAACCAAAAGTAACTAATCTAATATAATAAAGATGTAAAAGCAACCTTTGAAAAAATAACTCTTACTGTGCATGTTAAGATCAGGTCTATCTCGATAGTATATTTTTGAAAAATTTCTATACCACCTTTCAAATAAAAACTGCAAGTTGATAAAATACGTTTTCCATGTTTGACTACTTTTTTGAACGTTTTTTGCATATTCTTCTTCTAAATTTAAGGTAAAAATCGAAACAAAAATTGTAGAACACCGTTGCATTTAGAAAAAAACTCTTAATAGGTAAAGTAACAAAAATAAGTTCCATTACAACAAAAAAAACAATCGTCTGCACCTAAGGTAGACGTTGAAAAAAAATTATTCACAATAATCTTTTGTTTTTTTTTAATTATACCAGAGAAGGCGGTGTTATAATTCGAGACGATTTTACTAAACACCCGGTACTTATGTGTTTTCCGTTATTCCATTTTTTAATAAATTTTAATTGCAGTGTACAAAAAGGATGCTTCAACTTCTGATTTTCCTATACGAAATATAATGGATTTCTGAGGTTAACGAAATTAACCTAGTTCTTTCAATAAAGCAGTGTCGTTTTTATAAGTTTTATATTGGATGTTTGTGGTGGGAATCAAACTAAAAATAAACACAGATAAATTAAGAACAACGAATTGTTATCGTCGCCCAATAAATTAATCATTTTAAGGGGCCTACTCAAGCTGTATAATCCTTGACGATTTTGATTGTTTAACAAATAATAAAAGTAAACAATATAAATAATTTTTACGTAAATTTTATTATTATTATTTTTATTAACGTTGACCTGACTGATGCCGAATTCCAAAAAATATTTTGAAATTAGAATTCTTAAGTAGTGGTTATGTTTTTCTTTACATTTTCTCAGTAAGATACTTTTAATAAGTTACGCTTAACACTTAACATATTACTACAACTAGTACTTTGAAGACTCAGTGTTATAAACACGTCAGTTTATTTCAGACAAAAATATACATGCAAGATTTTCCGATGTAGATTTCTCCAATGTCATTATTGATTATTTAGTTCTTTCAACGAAATTGCAAACATAATGACGGTTAGTTAAAAAAAAAATACATATTTAACTATTACAAATTAGACTCGATGAACTTGACTTTCATTTTCAAAATATTTGTATTCTTTCATGACTTTTGTTATAACATTTTCAGTATCTGCTTGTTTATATGCCCAATGTTTTGTCGAGCATTTTAGAGAATTTAAGCAAGTTAGAAACAATATCTCTTCACTGTACCAGTCATATAAGTTTTCTTCAGGGTATAAGACACCTACAATACATTCAAAATAAGGAAAAAAAGCATATTTTTACTTCGTATGTTTGTCTTACGCTTCCTGAACTTTGTACGCCTATTGAATAGGTATACGGAAAATTGCGTACGGTATTACTAAAACATAATCAAACAACGCAGAATGTTTTTAGGAAATTATTAACACATGCTTTAATCACAATTATTGAGTATTTTTACAAATTTGCTGGATAAAACAGGAAAAATGTATTTTCTGATGTTTATATGTTCTTCGTGATCTTGCAATACGAGCAACTAAAGAAGTTGCTCTAGTTTAGAGTTAATTTTTGTCCCTTCCTGGATGGATCTACTTGTTCTATCATTGCCTTACTAAAAGTAGGTACTATTTCTTGTGTATAAAACGCCAGTCTTAAATTCAGAAACTTCCCTTGTTCGTGGTTGGATCTGTATGATGAAACCGTAACTCACAATGAGGTTGTTATTAGTATTTATGACTTGTCACTCACAACTATTCTCTTTATTTCTGTACAGATGTTTGTTTCGTAAGACGTTGCCACATATTTTTGCAACGGCGTTTATGTTAATGTAATCAAAAAGACAGTTTTCTTTTATTTGAATTTCTTCTATCAAAGTTGATTCTAGTATTCTTCTGCACACTAATTTTACACAAAGTTTTAAAACTAAAACAACTTTCAAATATGCACATACTTATTGTTTCTATGCGATTCATTGAAGCATGACAAGGCTCTTCCATAAAATTAACTTTATAACCAATTTTAACTTTAGTGAAGAAGCCTGACGAATTAATTTCCTGGTCTCAAGAATTCCGTAGTAAATAAAACAAACAAACACGGTTTACCTATTTATATACATTAATAATATGTTAAATATTTGTTGCAAATGAATCATTGTTTAATTTACGTAGATTACGTTTTAATGAACGTAGTGAAGAGGACAGGGTTAATTTAGTTACAGACACGTTGGAAATTTGAAAACTTACCTACTTAAAAATATTAATGATTGATAACACAGGCACAGAAAAAATGTTTTTTCAAATACTTTTTAACGGAGTATGAAACCCCTTGTATTTTGACTCGCTGAAGACGATGAAGTCATCAGATCAGAAATGCTCCATCACGTCAGGATTTTCCCCTAACCTCAAATAATAGATCAAAATCAGTGGAACTCTCGTTTTTTTTTGTTAAAATAGTTTTGAAATTAAACAAAACAGACGTGTTAATAAATTCGCTTCTATTTCTATAGCACATTCAGTAAGCTAAAATAGAGGAGTTAACTGGGTCTAAATAAAAACTTTTTACTCTTACACTTTTTTCTATAAAATGCATTAATGAGAGTTATATACATTTTAATGCTCAAAATTAGTTAAAAATTGCTGTAAGGGGTCATTTTAGAGAAAAAGGTGCAGGAATAAATAATGTTTATTTTGACCCTATTGTGTGCTCTAATTTCAAAATCTTAACAATTTTAACAAAAAATCGAGATTTCCACTGATTTTGAGATATTTTTGGAGGTTAGGAAAAATTCTGACGTGATGGCGCATTTGTGATGACCCCATCGTCTTCAGCGGGTCAAAATACAGGGGGTATCATACCCTGTTAAAAAGTATATGAAATTTTGTGTCTGTGTAATTGAATAATTGAAAAAAAAACTCATAATTAAATTTTAAAGAATTAGATTTAGTAACAAATTTATATCACAAGAACTCTATTGAACTAGGTATAGATAAAATCAAAGCAATTGGCAAATTTACGAATGTAATTAACGACGAGAGTATCGAACGTTGTTAAGTCTTATCAAATCGATATAATCTTACGAAGCGAGTACTGAAATTTCTTCATGTGAATAAATATTCTCTAATCTAAGTAAATTATATTTTATCCACATGCATGTTCATTACTTTAAAACTTTAAACCTAAAAACTATAAATTAAGTAATAATTTTGTACAAAACAAATATTTATAAACAAATATTTAACTAAATAATAAATCCTATTTATGGTATATTTGAACTTGAACGTGTTAGTTATAAACAACAAGGTTTATAAATTCATGCTTGTATTTTTTTTTCAGAATATGCAGAATTTTTACACTGCAAAGGACAGAAGTTCTCCGACTTCGATGAAGTTAGGAAAGAAATCGAGGCTGAAACTGACAGAGTTACCGGAAGCAACAAAGGAATATCTAGTATACCAATTAACTTAAGGGTTTATTCCCCAAATGGTAAAATATATATTTCGTATTAAATCTGTTTTAAAATCTATAATTTATAGAATCGCTGATAGCGCATATTGTTTTAGTTAAGTTGTTATTGCAATAACGGACTTGATAAATTTGTTTATCACTAATTTTTATCGGACTTTGCTGTCTGACAAAATTTCTTATCGAAAGTTAATTTGTTACTTCGGTTTTTACATTTAAATTTTGTCACCATGCCACTACATAATTTATATACTGAGTGATTTACATATAAGTTCGGCAAACTGCTAATGGGAAAAATTTTTTCGACTATTTAAAAGTCAATTGACAGAGTTCTGATGACATCAATTAATACTAAGAAATGGAATTAAATAAATTACATCGCACATATCATATATTTTGAAGCGGAGAAACACTTTTTAAAGTGACGCAGAAAAATTTATTTTGACTTCTCTTTGAAGTGTTATTTAAGGAGCTCTATTAAAAGAGCTTTTATAAAACCAAGAATTTATTTCTATTATCAAGTTATCGGGTCGGAAAGTGTTTGTGTATCACCCTGTATAGGATGTAGTTATAAAACAATTTGAAATTAGTCCGCAAATAGATCACTTAAGAATATCTGAAAGTACATGTCGCAATTTTTAACCAAAAACAAAAAAAAACATTTGATTGTATCATTGGTTTGAACACCATGTGGTTCTTTCGTTAAAATGCCCATAAAAAGTTAGGGGGTGTGCCATTTATTTAGCACTCAAAAAATAAAGATGAATACCATGATGTATTTAATTCAAATCATTCTAAAATCATATGAAAATAAATTGTTTCCTAGTACCACTATAAGACAGCTACAGTGCAGTCTAAAGTAAGAAATTAAATTATTTATATTTTTATATCTGGAAAAAATGCCGGGCACGTCGATTCCCATTTATTTATTTTTAAAAACTAATCTTTCAACTTTTTACAATTTAAAATTTTAAAATTTTTTAAAGGTCTTTTTAATCTCTATCCGAGAATAAGCAACTTTTCCAATAGGTGTTTTTAAAAGTCCAGAACAAAGTGGGGTTTAATAAATTTTTGTAATTTACCCAAACCGCCAAAATGGCCTTCAGCAATTTCTTAATAAAAGGCCACACAGTTTCTGTCCTAAACTAAAGTTTATTATTTTTACTTCTACTATACTATCCTATACTTATCTTCTAAGTTAAAAAATTCAAAACTCCCGGAATTAATTGAAAACAGTTTGATCTTCTGTCAAGAAGTTAATGTAGGTCACTTTGAGCATTTAATCAAATAACTAAAGGCGGTTTTCCACTAAACGGACAAAACAAAAACAAAACACAAACTTGTTTCGAATAAAACAGAACTGTAACTTTTCGCAAACTTTCTGAAGACTGGCGTGTTTTGCGTTTGCGACAGTTGGAGTTTTGTTTTTCGGGTCCCGCTTCAAAAAGGCGGTTTTCCACTAAACGGATAAAACAAAAACAAAACACAAACTTGTTTCGAATAAAACAAAACTGTAACTTTTCGCAAACTTTTTGAAGACTGGCGTGTTTTGCGACAGTTGGAGTTTTGTTTTTCGGGTCCCGCTCGAAAGCGGTCACATCAAAAGGTTTCGATGTGTTTTGAAACTCAAGTCTGTTTAGTGGAAACGGTCGTGTTGTGTTTTCTATCCAATATCTATGTTGGCGTTTTCTTCTTCCCGAAAACAATATTTTAATCATTAATGAATTATAGCTATTAAAAAATATATATGTGTACGGATAAAGTGTTTACTTGGCTAGGATACAAACTAACCAAGTAAACACTTTAAACGTACATATACCACGAACTCCATCGATGGATATCTGGGAAATTGCTCGAAGGATTTTTTTGAAATTGTGATGGTGTCACAATGTCGAGCCTACCAAGCTAAAATATTTTCAAGGTCATCGCATTTCCGGTTATACCGGAAGTTGATACTAACTTTCTTATTTTAAATGGAACCCCCTGTTTATTGCAAAAAAATAGGGGTTTCCATTTAAAAATTTCGAGTCTCACATATTCTGAACTTCACATTCGATAATTTTTTTTTGACCACCCTGTATGAAAACTAGAAAATTTTCATGTCAAATTCGATAAAATAGGTCTTCCTCTACAAAATGTCCAATTTGCACAAAAAAATAAACCGGGAAAACTAAATTTTGCTGACAGTCTGCATCTGTCAATTTTTGTTTAAAAATCGAAATATCTCGGAAACGGTCAATCCTAAGTATGGAGTGTGCTGTATGTTTTCAACTTAAAAATGGATGATGTTTCCAAAAATGCAATAATATACAGGGGGTTCCATTTAAAATAAGAAAGTTAGTATCGATTTTCGGTTAACCGGAAGTACGATGACCTTGAAAATATTTTAACTTGGTGGGCCCCACGGTCCGTATCACACCATCACAATTTCAAAAAAATCCTTAGAGCGGTTTCCCAGATATCCATCGATGGAGTTCGAGCTGGGACACTCTGTAGACACTTTTTTTCGCAATAAAAAAATCTTCTCTAAACATGTAGGTTGGTTATTGGAAAAATGTGTTCTGACTTCCTCGCGACAACCAGTAGAAAAGGACCGAAAACAAAAACAAAACTCGAACAAAATGTAGCCCGCTTGATGAAAACAAGAGTTTTGGGTTTGTTTTAGTTTTGTTTTTGTTTTTCAGGTTCTAGAAAACACAAACAGGACATAAACTCAACTGTCCGTTTAGTGGAAAACCGCCATTATAAATATCAAAACAGAAGTTTTGTTGATACGAATAAGTTATAAAGATTCCCTGAAGCGGCAGTTTTTATTGAATTTCTTAACTTTTATTATACCAATTTGAAAAAGTGTATTATCACTAAATAAAATTACTTTACACTCGTAGTAGGTGTTGACTTTTGTGTCTTGGCTTAAAACAGCATTTGTAAACCAGCATTTTCCCTGCTAGACCAGAGAAATTGGCATTTGATCTCGATACCAAAAAAATTACAAACCTGCCTACCCAAGATATTGAAGGTCAAAGTTTGAAGCAAATATCTCGCGTTCTCGGATATCGGATGTCCATAAGGAAAGAGTTGTAGATAATTCAATTATCTACAAAATTAGTATCTATTATAGCAGTTTTTCCCAAAACCTCGCGCTTTTCGAGATATTCAAAATTCCAGAGAAAGCGGTTTTTCGTTAATATCTCGCTTCCTATGCCTCGGATGTCCATAAAGTCAATATAAAAGTTGTAGAGAATTTAATTATCTGCAAGAATGGTAAATTTACAATTTCTAAAAAATATTTTTGAATTCGTTTCCACACCACCCATGAGGTAGAATATAGATCAATCTTATACATAATATATTTGCGAAAAACCTTGGTTTTGAATATCTCGAAAAGGGGCGAGGTTTTGGAAAAAATTGCAAGAGACCAATCTTATAGATAATTAAATTATTTAATACGTTTATACTGACTTTATAGATGTCCGATACATACAACTCGAGATATTTGCAAAAAACTTTAATCTCCAATATCTTGAGTAGCGATTTTTGTGATTTTTACGGATTTCGGTTTGGCACACCTCAAATATGTTTAAGTAAAAATTTAACTTGGACGGAATTTTGTTGAGATTTCCTCCTTTTTTCGTACAATTTCCTTGGGCTATGCGTTGTTGGCATTTTGATTTCATTCAACCGTTTTCCGTGTCCTTAGATGGAGAAGTGCTGATCAGGGCCGTAATAAGAATATTTTACTTTGGTAGGAAAGTGCATTAAAATAGATAATTGTATAACATTCGGTTAAAAATAAAAAAATTATTAATTTGAAGAAATGATTAAAGTTTTATTACTGTTTCGCGATTTTTTTCTAATCACCTTAGGTGGTTTACTCGCTATTTGTTAGTAGCAAAGTATTATATTACAAATTATAGTTTCAAATCTTTTTAAGATATGTTAATTGTATGACACGTTTACGCTATTGATTATCAATTTTTGTATCGTGCTCCTTAAAATTACTTGATATTATAAATTAAAAAAGTATTATTCTGGGCACCTAGGTATGATAATTTATATAGTTCCAAGAAGAATCCTCTTATGCAGAAAATACTTTCAGAAGTGCTGCTTTGTGAAAACTACTACTATGTGTTGTCAAACATCAGTAAAATATTTTTATTACCATGTTATTACCTATATTTTTTCACATATAAATATATAGATTAAGTACGTATTTATTTGTTTTAAAGAATTCATAGAGAATACTGTAACAAATATCTGTTTATGTAAAAGCTGTATATCATCTCATTTCATAGCTTTCATGGATTCTGAATTTTATTCAGTGGGGGCTGATGAAAATAGAAATGGTCATGTTTTTATAAAGCAGCATGGGACCCCATACAGTTTGTAAGAGATGACTTCTAGGTTCCCAAAGAGAACTTTCATGATGAAAAAATGTACACTAATTTTGAGCCACGGAATTCCTACTCTAACATTGTCCGCGTACTTCCGGCCACCCTGTATTATTCGTTGCATAACCAATAAAGAAGCGTTAAATCTTTTCCTCAATCTTTTCCGACATCAGAGTAAACAAGAATTTTATTTTTCAGTATTAAACCTCACGATGATCGATCTACCTGGCATGACGAAGATCGCGATAGGAGATCAGCCTCCGGATATAGAACAACAAATCAGGGCGATGATTCTGCAATTTATTAAACGAGAATCGTGCCTTATCTTAGCCATAACGCCGGCGAACACGGATTTGGCCAACTCGGATGCTCTGCAAATCGCCAAGGAGGTTGATCCCCAAGGTAATGAGAATCGGTGTTTGTTTTGTTCGTCTCGGTAGAGAAATGTTTAAAATTACTGGATAAAGGATATTGTTAGACGTCGACCGAGACACATGGGAAAAAATAAACTTAATATTCAAAACTGTAGAGGTAATGTACAAATGTATGTGCGTTGAAAGAAATATTTTAAACGGTACAAAATACCGATTTGGCACAGTGGCGGCTCGTCAGGTGACGCAAGTGACGCACCGCTTCACCTAAAATTTCCGTTTGGTTGTGCAATTTAAAATTATTTTTAACTTTATATAAATTTTATAATTTAGGTATAATTTCTATATTGAAAATGTATTGTGTTTGTTTGTTTAATACGCAGGAATAAACAGAATAGTTGCGCGGTGAAGTTGGCAGGCCGATTTTAACGTTTAATTACTTTTTATTATATCAGAATTTGACGTGAAATCGTAAACTGGTGAAATACGTTTATATTTAAATAAAAAATAGAGATGGTCCTTAAGTAAATACTGATAGTAGTGGAGAAATGGAGATTATTCTTTACATCGTTTTGAGGAAAAAAAGTTCAGATGAACCTTCTTCTTCTTCGGCTTCTTTCCCGAGATATATAGTAGGTATTAAAATTATATTTACACAAATTATATCTGGATAGATAATAATTAATGAATCTTAAGCTGCTGACTTGACTTAGTAAAGGTCAAAATTTCTGATTGAGAACACAAAATATAAACACCATTAAACATTTTTGGAAGTACGGAGTATTTGATTTGTATAAGTATACTAAAAATATATACAGGGTAGCCCATCGAAAACGTACCGCAAGGCATTACAGGGTAGTAAAGAACTTTTCGGCAAATTCCAAAAACAGGTCAAATTTGTTTCTGAGGGGGACAACTTTTGGCTCAAAAAGCATACCAAAATCTTCAACCCCCTAAGTGGGGGTGCTATCCCCTAAATTTTTTCAAATGGGAATGGGGGTCAAGTGGGGGGTCATTAGAAAGGGCTTTTAATTCTCTATACATCGATTCTTACTTTTTGAAAATCGATTCATTATTTTAGAAAATATGCAGCTTTGAAAATACGAACAATATTTTTGACGAGAAATGCGAAAATCGATTTAATTTTACTTCAAAACTTACGGTATTAGCTTGGTAAATTCCTTCAAAAGAATTCGCTTTTTTTTTTTTCTGATTTGCGAATTCTTTAGCCTGATTTTGGTGAGCAAAAAATTGTCCGCTTTTTGTTTCGTATTTAGATAGGCCACAAGAAGTTGCTAGATAACTGTCTTGTGACTTGTAGTTGAAGAGTACCAATACTGCCGAGTCTTTTAAATTGATTAATTATGGTGTACTCAATTCCAGAAAGAGTAGAAATTATTGAGCTTTTTTTCAAAAACAATGAATGCGGAAATCGGGTCGCCGAACTGTTCAACCAACGGCATCCTGAGAAACATGCGTCTGGAAAAATTGTTCGCGAATTGGTGGCCAAATTTCGCGAAACTGGCTCCGTTCATAACAAAAAGAGGCAGGTTGAAAATCCGGTACTAAATGAACCTACGGAAATAGCGGTATTGGGGCAAGTGGCAATGGATAGTACGCTGAGTACAATGCAATTGGCTACTGCGACAGGAGTGAGTCGTACAAGTGTCCAACGAATATTAAAAAAATACAAATTCCATCCTTATAAGATTCGGCTAGTGCAAGAGCTAAATGAAGACGATTTTGATCGTCGTTTGCAATTTTGCGAAATAATGACTGAACGAGCGATAAACGATAATTTCCTCTTTAATGTGTGTTTTTCGGACGAGTGTACGTTCTTCTTGAATGGTTTAGTGAATCGCCATAATTGTCGTTACTGGGCTGATACCAATCCAAGGATTTTCCATGAGACACACTCCCAACACCCCCAGAAGTTGAATGTATGGGCAGGTATTTTTGGAAATTCCATTGTAGGTCCTTTTTTCCTTCCTGGAAATTTGACAGGCGATATGTACTTGGATTTACTACAAAATGTCATCGACCCAGCTCTAACAAATATCATAGAGGACGACCCTGCTTACAATGAACACGAACTGATTTTCCAGCAAGACGGAGCTCCTCCACATTACTCGCTCAATGTGCGCAATTACCTAAATGAGACGTTTCCAGGACGCTGGATAGGACGAAGAGGTGCAATTGAGTGGCCCCCTCGGTCACCCGACTTAAATCCTTTAGATTTCTTTCTCTGGGGGCACATTAAAAGCAAAGTTTACAGCACTCCACCTGATACCTTGGAAGATCTGCGAGGACGAATCATTAATGTATGTCGCGAAGTAACACCGCAAGTGCTCCAGAATGTTCGACAACGGTTTGAAGACAACCTGTATCATTGTATGCAAGTTGGCGGACAACATTTTCAGCATTTACTTGACTAATACCGTAAGTTTTGAAGTAAAATTAAATCGATTTTCGCATTTCTCGTCAAAAATATTGTTCGTATTTTCAAAGCTGCATATTTTCTAAAATAATGAATCGATTTTCAAAAAGTAAGAATCGATGTATAGAGAATTAAAAGCCCTTTCTAATGACCCCCCACTTGACCCCCATTCCCATTTGAAAAAATTTAGGGGATAGCACCCCCACTTAGGGGGTTGAAGATTTTGGTATGCTTTTTGAGCCAAAAGTTGTCCCCCTCAGAAACAAATTTGACCTGTTTTGGATTTTGCCGAAAAGTTCTTTACTACCCTGTAATGCCTTGCGGTACGTTTTCGATGGGCTACCCGTATACATTCCTTTTAACACTGATCACACCTCTACATGCGTACTGAATAAATGGAATATATATCTAAAACTCCTTTTTACGAAATATTTTTATTAACTTTTTTTAAGAACCTTTTGTTGGAAATGCAGTTTCAATATAATGTGGTGATTAGAAATCCATAAAAATCAGTGACGTAGAAATTTACCACTTGCTGTTCTTCAGAAAAATCAAAATTTCTACGCCAATGATTTTTTTGGATAAACTATATAAGTCTGACATTTTGTTTGTCAATATTTTTTGAGAAATTAAGAGTTTTAGAGGTAATTTAGATTTATTCAATAAATAAAAAAATAAACTTATTTTACACACAAAAAGAAATAACTTCTGAAGATCTTTAAATAAGACATATTTTCTTTGAAGTATTCCTATATTAGGACAAATAAACTAGTTGAATTTTCAAAATACTTACTATCGTCAAAAATTTAGGTTTTTTAGTAAATGTGTATATCTCTGCCACTAGTTTATATACGTTTTACATACAATTTTTCCTGAAATGCGGCTTTGGTTATTTCCTTTGACTACCGCAATGTTATTGACTGTTGTTTTTGAATATTAGATAAAAAATACCACATGATAAAAATGTATATCATTAGAGTTCGGGGTTTTCGTCGGCTAGTCATAGGCGTGTTCGTCGTAAACATATAAATAAACAGGTAGGTATAAATAAAAATAAATAAATTTGCGTACTTTATCAGCGAAAGGTCGTTTTTTACCCTCTTGGCGTGTTCGACGATATTTGAATATTAAAACACGTATACACGAAGCAAACGCGAAACCAATAACTGCCGTTATTACCGGTTTCGTATTCGTATGGAGCCCTGTAGCGAAAGGCCAACGCGACGACTATGATCATCCGACCCAGTCCCGATCTCTAATTACCATTCACAGTATATGTATACAATCCGACTAATATTATTTACTAGATTTTATAAAGGAGTTATGTACTAGACATTTAAGAACTATGAATCTTATTTAAGCTGGTAAAATGAATTATTTCTTCTTGCTTCGTTTTAAAACATTGTGTAATTGTTATTTTAAGATATATTTCAAAAGGAGGAAAAACTTTGATGAGACATAATCATACATAAACTCTATAATAAACAGCAATTACGCTGTCTATACTTTCAATTTGTCCCCTTTAGGATTCCGCACAATTGGAGTAATAACAAAATTAGACTTGATGGATGATGGAACGGATGCAAGAGAAATTTTAGAAAACAGACTACTGCCCCTTCGACGGGGTTACGTGGGGGTCGTTAATCGTTCCCAGAAAGATATTGAGGGAAAGAAAGATATAAGAGTGGCTATTACTGCCGAAAGAAAATTCTTCGTAAGGTAGTAAAAAAAATCAGTACCTACATATATATCTAATAAACGGCAAAAAAGGCATCCCTTTCGATTTATTACGGCTATTTTTAATTTTTGTTTTAGTCATCCAGCGTATTCGCATATAGCTGACAAATTAGGCACACCATATTTGCAAAAGACTCTGAATCAACAACTAACCACCCACATCGGGAATACATTACCTACTTTGAGGGACAAATTACAAAAACAAATTATAGGGCTAGAAAAGGACTTGGGGGATTTTAAGAACTTCGCTCCGGACGATCCAACTGTCAAAACCAAAGCTCTACTTCAGTAAGTACGGAGTATTGAAAGAGTAAATTACATCGAGGTGGAAAAATTCGATTGGCGGAAATATTTTTTGCAAGTAGAATCTTTTTTTTAATTACTTCGCACATTTTCTTTCTCTTACAAAGCTTAATATAATACTAGTTCCATCTGTTGTCTCATTCCTAATTTAAATTAAAAATCATTGAAAAAAATCAGACAAGTAATATGTCAAAGCGACATTTGTATAATATAAGCCTATAAACTAGTTTTATTTATGCAATAATTTTGGTTTTACACCATAGCATGGAAAAATTTTGTATTTTAATATAAAAAAATGTCTGGCCTTATAGAAAATTCAGTGACAAGATGTGTCAAGTAAGTTATGTAACATTTTTCGCCTGTATTTAGAAGCTCTTACCGTGAAAACGAAGTTTTTGACAAATTTTCTTTTCTGGAGTATTATTTGTTCTTAGGATGATTCAACAATTCGCCCTAAGTTTCGACAGAGCCCTTGAGGGATCGAGATCCAACGACGTGAATACCTTGGAGCTTTCTGGAGGAGCCAAAATCCACTGTCTCTTTCACGAGAGATTCCCATTCGAAATAGTAAAAATGGAGTTTGATGAGGCTGATTTACGTAAAGAAATTGCGATCGCTATTTGCAACATACACGGTATAAGAGTGAGTATTTTGCAGTTGTCTACTGTCTATTTATGAAGCTTTTAAAAAGTTGCTCCAAAAAATTAATTTTTATGCGATATCTAAGTACTTTTGTCTGTGAATACTGGCAGCATATGTGAAATTGTAGGAAAATATCTACGTTCCCCTCACTGTTAACTATCTATCTATTATTATTATTATTTGTTTAGATTGGATTATTTACACCAGATTTAGCATTCGATGCCATAGTCAAAAAACAGATATCCCGTTTAAAAGAACCCTGTATGAAATGCGTGGATTTAGTGGTGACAGAACTTCTAGCTGTTGTACATTCCTGCACTGAAAAGGTAGGTAAAAATTTTAATACGGAGAGAACAAACAAGGCATGCATATCCTCAAATGTGCTGACCGATTTCAAAGAACAATAATAACTATTTAAGTAATTATAATTCATTCCTCTGAATATTAATATTAATTATTTGAAAAAGTATACTTATCCCCCTGTTGAAACTAAGATAATAATATGTAATTACTAACATGATCAATTTTATTGATGTTCTATAAGAAAGTTCCTATAAGATTTTTTCGTTATAATTTTTCCTTTTTGCTTATTTATTTTTATTCAGAAGTAGATTCTTGAAAAATCAATAGCTATTATTATTATAGTTGATGATGAGTAAATCATTTGAAATTCCATCTGAAGATAAATTCGACGTTAATTCCTATTTATACAGGGTGTTCCTAAATAAGTGTCGCAACGGAAAACTGTAAATTCCTCTTGAAAAAAGAAACATTTTTTCCTCTTCCATTTTTCTCTCCGGGCTTTCGTTTTCGAGATACACAATTTTACACAATAAGAGTTCTCTTGGTTCATTGCTCTAAAGTCAACCGTTTTCAAGAAAAATGACTTTTTATGAACAAAAGCAAACATTTTCCTAACGTTCCATGTTAATACTATCGAAAAGTTGACCGATAGAGGTGAAGCCACAGCGGCAGAAAGAAACATGATTAGAAGATGTAATGTGTGCATTCAAGCCAACGGACGTAATTTTGAACAGTTTCTGTAAATTTTACTCGCCAAATTGATAAAAAAAAGTTAAAATCCTATCTGTTATTAAATTTCGTTAAAATTGTTAATTATTACTACCTATTTTTTGAATTACAAAAGATTTTCGAAACGTTAGCAAAATGTTTGCTTTTGTTCATAAAAAGTCATTTTTCTTGAAAACGGTTGACTTTAGAGCAATGAACCAAGAGAACTCTTATTGTGTAAAATTCATTGGCGCTTTAGAATTTGCTGTCAAAAGTCAATTTTTCCAGTGGCGTAAAATTTAGGGGAGAAAAAACCCTTACGATACCTTAAAATCTCCACCACTGGCACGTCCAATGAATTCGAGAAGGGTGCGAAAAAGTAGCTATTAATAGTGGTAATGTGTGTACAAAAGCTCAGTCCTGTAGTTCAAACGATTCCTAAGATATTGGCGAAAAACTAAAAAAAAATTAAAGTTTTGACACCGTGTATCTCGAAAACGAAAGCCCGGAGAGAAAAATGAAAGAGGAAAAAAGTTTTTCTGTTTTCCAGAGGAATTTACAGTTTTCCGTTGCGACACTTATTTAGGAACACCCTGTATTACTATTCATAAGAACTAATTAGTTACATAATACAGAAAGTACGTATAAATGATTGTTTAAATATTGTATACAAAGAACTGTGAAATATGGTTTGTTCCCGATGGTCATGAACTATGCGTAAATGTGATTATAGCATTTCGGGTCATTGACGCAGGAAGTAAACGCAACAGATAACTTCGCGTGTCTTACCTTATAAAGGAAACGATTTCTTTTTTAAAGAAATAGTGATAAATAAAAATAATACAGACTAAAGTACAGTTTTTAATACCGAAGAGTTTGTTGCTCGAAGAACACCAGAAGTTTTATATGCATACTAAAATATTTAAGGGCAAAAAAATTAACTATTTTTTTTGGAAGATATATCTAGAATATCATTCAGAATGACGAAAGAAAATATCGTGATAGTTTGAGCCCTTAATATTAATTTTAAGAGGTTTATCATCGGTAGTTTCGATTTTTTATTCCTGATACAATTTTTGCGTCAAAAATGCCAAACCATTGAGGTAAAAAAATGTATCTACATATATTTTTGAAGGAAATAGAATGCCCTACAAAAAAGGTCTGATTGAAAATTTTCGGCAGACGAGCCGTTTCCATGTAATCAAGCCTTGAAAATTGATATGTTTTTTCGATTTGACTTTTTAACTTTGGAATTTTGTAAATAACGAACAAATTAATATCTGAAAAAGAACAATACAGATTTTCAAAGAAAATTTAATGCTCTACAAAAAAGGTCTCTTAACATTTTTGCATAAATTTACTCCTTCAAAAGTTATTCACTATTGAAGTTGAAGTAAAAATTAAATTTTAGTTTTTTTTTCGTTTTAGACCAAATTTTTGGTGATTATATTGATAGAATAATAATTGACGATGATGTATAATATCAATTTGTTCCATTGAGTGAAAAGAATTAGGTCCAAAACGCAAAAAACTAAAATTTCGCTGAACATAATTTTTCCTCCCCCTGAACTGTCTTAGGATAAACATAATGCTGAACAAGTTTAAGGCAATTTTTCTTTATATTTATTTTTTTACATGTAATTAAAAACATGATATATTTAAATATACTCTAGTGCCAACATAGCACCGTCTCATTCTCAACATGCATATGCGTGCGACTGGTAATGCGTGAGGGGAATACGATTCCATGGGCGTGTCAATTTAGAGGGTTTCAAAAATTGTTAAATACAGAACAACAAATAGATATGTCGATTTTAGAAAATACTAGATTATCCTTACAATGACTAACGCTGCCACTGCTACCGCCTAAAGGTATGATTAAAAAAATAGTGAAACTTTCCGGGACAAATCTTTATCTTGCAGTTTGAATTTTCTTCCTATTGGAAATTCATATTTAAAATATAATACTTGCAATCTTCCTACGGATTGCATATTTGTCATTGTTAATTTCAATTTTTTTCCTGCTAGTTCGTTTTTTGCTTTCTTTACACCTTCACTTTTTGGCACATAATAAACACTTCTGGATAGACACTTTTATTCACTTCCAAGTGCAGGTATGCAGCCTGAATGTAATACTTGGACATTATGCAAAATAATTACAATTTCCATACAGAGAATAATCAATATTATTTTATGAGACTAAGAAGTATGTAAGTAATACAAATTGTGGTTTCATTTATTTGACTCAACTCGCTACTATTTTGGCATCATGGTATATGTATATAACATGTTCTTTTTATGGTATACCTATAATAAAACTAAACGAAAATAAAGTATTGCTTTATCAACTTTCACTAGGTAATCAAAATAAAAGTATGAATTTCAAAGAATGTTTTTTTTTAGATGGCTAGATTTCCACGTCTAAGGGAAGCAGTTGAAAGTATAATAACTTCTTATATTAGAAGAAGAGAACAAGCATGTAAAGATCAGATATCCCTTTACATAGACTGCCAGTTGTCTTATATGAACACCAATCATGAAGACTTCATAGGATTTGCAGAGTAAGTACACCCCCATAAAACATAGGGTGATTTATTATAGAATCCAACAATATTTAAAAGGTAGATCAGTTTACCACCTACTCGTAGATTACCTGTCGTATTTTAAAACGGTCTAATTAATCCTGTTTTTTGTATTATAATACTCAATGCTACATCTGCATGTACTATTTCATAGTACTATAAGCCAACTTCAGAAAGATCATAGATCCCTTCATCAAGTATTTATCCTTGCACTCCACTTGTTTTCTAGTTAGTTCAGTTCAATGTCTTGGCTAGCAAGTATGAAAACAGAAAATATTATGATACAAAATTGTGGCAATGGCAACTTTGACTTCTTAAGAATAAAATAGAGCATAGCAAAAAGTAAGATGCGTTTTACAAATCCAAAAGACTCCTTGACTGCTTTATGTTATCAACTCATGGAGATGCCACACTTTAATTGGAATTGCATGCCATTTTTGAGACCAAATAATGTTCACGGTGTTTCATTTCTTGGTCCACGAAGAGCCCTGATTTCAAATTGGTCAGCATCTTTCTGTGGAGATACATAAAGAGCTAGTGCAAACCACCAACAATGCTACAGATATAATTTGTGCCCATACTCGGACATCTCATTTTGCGATTAGAAAGTGTGTCTCTAACTCAACGAATAAACCTTTGAACATTTTTACTAAGAATATTTGTGTTTCCTTTTGTATATCTTCTCCACATTCCTGAGTGGGGATATCCACCATTTTACTTTTGTCATATTCAAATAAATCACCCTGTATTTTGATTGAACTGATATTGAGAATTCGTACTCTTAATACATTTTTTCAATTTAGTGCGGAAAATCAGGCGAAAAAAGCGTCATCCGGACAAGCGAAACATTTGGGAAATCAAGTGATTCGTAAAGGTTTCATGTGTCTACAGAACCTGAGCATCATCAAGGGTAGAGATTTTTGGTTCGTTTTAACGTCTGAGAGCCTGTCGTGGTACAAGGACGACGAGGAGAAGGAAATTCAGTACATACTTCCTCTAGTCAACCTTAAATTGAGAGATATGGAAACGAGTTTCATGTCTAGAAGGCATTTGTTTGCTCTATTTTATCCAAATGGGTCCAATATTTATAAGGTAGGTAAATCTGAAGAGTATCTTTATCAGTATACTCAGTTATGAGAGTAAAAAATGTGTTGTAATGTTACTTTCAAGGATTACAAACAATTAGAATTAAGCTGTGATTCTTTAGACGAAGTAGATTCTTGGAAGGCCTCATTCTTAAGGGCTGGAGTGTATCCAGAGAAGAAAGTTAAACCAGAAGGTGAAGATGAAGTAGAAGAAGACAATAATAATGTAAGCATATAGATGACCTATACACTTAATCCAAAATACGAAATACCTATAAACTTCTCCATAATAAGGTGTAATTCATCAATTGGATTTAAAAAAATCTTTTGATTGATTTTAGATGTTCGAGAATTCCGTGGACCCCACACTAAAGCGTCAAGTAGAAGTTATAAGAAATTTGGTAGAAAGCTATATGAGCATAGTAACAAAGTCGACGAAAGATTTGGTGCCAAAGACGATTACACATATGATAATAATCGAAACCAAAAAGTATATCTATGAAGAGCTGCTCATCCACGTCTACGCAAACGAAGACCAGGTAATGGAATATTAAATACACGACACCACCCGGCTCCTTTGAACTTAAACCTATTGTCTGACGTAATTGTTCCCCTCGAATTCGAATCTGCCCGCAAAAATACACCATCAATTCAGGATATATAAATATTCACATGTAAATGTGTGCCAAAAAGCCATTTCGACTTGTTTTTGACATTATGTCAGACTTACTGATATATTTCAAAACTAAATATATAAAAAACCACTTCGACATTATGTATTTTGACGTTATGACACATAGATATTTTTTCCTCTTGTTTGTTGCGATAAGATTTTCTTCTCCAAGATATCACCAATTAAAGTTTAGTTGATTCCAGTATTTAATCAATGAGCAATTTGTTATTGTTTTTTTAAATGTCCTAGAAATAATATTTAACCTTATGTTATGTTATGTTAATAATGTCGTGAAAATACTAGAAATTTCTAAGGGGTTGTTAATTACTAATTAATTGGCGCACGAAATAAATGTTTTAAACGGGTGATTGTTGCCGCGCTAATTCGTGACGTCAATTAGTGCGATCGAGAATCAACGACGGCTGATAAGCAGGTTGTGTTCGTGATCGCACTAAATGACGTCATAACGCGTTCTTGATCACGTAAAATCATTTGCAATATTTTTTAACTAATGCATTTAGGGCCGATTTTTGTCAACTATCAAGTAAGTAAGTTTAATTTATCAATTAAATATATGTCTGTTACTTTCTTATGCTTATGTTTTTTATGAAATTGATTTAACAGGCAAATAAATAATAAATTTATCAAGAGGTGAAAAACGGCCTTATTCTAAATTCTAAAATCCTTCTGCTCACGTTAATCAAGCAGCCCGATTTAGAAAGACTGCAAGTATTTTAGCAATTAACTGAAGTTAATTGATTACGTTGTTGATTACATACTGAAATCAACTAAACTTAATGGATGATATCGAAAAAGGTCATATCGAGACAATCCAAAATGGAAATTAAAGAAAAAGAGAAGTACTTTAAGTTAAAGTATTGAGTTAAAAAATATCTGTAGGTGTGACATATCAAAAACATGTACAGCCGCTTTTATGTTTGACTGTCCCAAACTCCTGATGTGGTGGGACAATTTGGCAGACTGAAAAAAGCTTTCTCTACCTTTCGATGTGATTTAATATTATCAACTAGTTCTGTATGATTTTTTGGTAGGCTAATCTCATGGAAGAATCACCAGAGGAAGTAAAAAGGCGAGAAGAAAAAATGGCCATGTTTCAAGCTTGTAGAACAGCCCTAGAAATAATTGGAGATTGTTCAATGAGGATAACCACCAAAAACAAATCTGCACAATCAGAAGAGGACACAATTTCTCTTTTCACCCCTACACCGGCACCTTCGGCCGCCACCAAAAGAGGTTAGTCTATTTTATTTAAATGTTGTTTGAAAATTTATAAAAACACCACTGTATTCCCATAATGAGGCTTCCGTAAGAAAAAGAACTAAATTTGTTGTAGTAACTAATTAGATTATTCATGTAAGCCAGAAAACCTTCAAAATTTTGATTTTTTCAGAATTTATCTTGAATTTGCCTCGAAAATTTGTTTGTGTATTGGAAATGCAATTTCAAGCAGAATTTACTGATAAAAAGTCCAGAAAATTCAATGGCTTAGAAATTTCAGAAAGATCAAAATCAAAATTTCTACGTGAAGGATTTTTGTTATTTTCTTTTCCTTTTTTTTTGAAACAAGCGCTGAAAAAAAATGGGCTTCATTGCAAATTTACGACAAATTCGCAAAATTAAAAAATAAGTTGCCTGTTCATTTTATATATCTACCTATTTTTTCCGTTCTTTAGGTTTCAGACTGTCTACACCCCCACCAGCTATAAGTAGGCCAGCACCACCCCCACCCCCAGGTACGGCGCCGTCTTTGCCAGATAGGCAATACTGAATCTCACTTTCCGCTTTTACAACTTTTAATTTTAACCAAAAAAAAAAAATCCCTGATGTATTTATAATTTATTTATATTTGTAACAATTTATCAAATTAACAAAGAAGGGATGTAAAAATAATTTATTTATGTTTTAATTATACCAAAAGATAAGCAATTAAATTTTACTTTATGATTTTATAGAAATGTTATTTTTTTAATAAAAGCTACTTGATTGTTTAAAAGTTGTTATTTAAATACTCTATCGCAATATTGACCAGGTTTTTTTAATTTTCCAGGTGTAAGGAAGATTAAGAGTGAGAAAAATCTGCTAATTCCTCACTTTTTTATTCTATCTATACCGTAATGACTGTATGTTGTTAATGGTAAGAGAAATGAGAAGTTTAAAATGTGTTGTGCTTCCTCTGTTGCAATGGCGTCTATGAAAAATCTTAATTGTTTGTAACCCGCTTTAAATGACTAACAAAAATAAAACAAAATGGAATCAAAGCAATGTGAAACTATAAATTCCTAAAACTTGTTCTTCAGTATGTAAATTTAAAGTCGTTTTTCTTGATACTTATTGATGAAAGTAAAACCGTTTTCCTAAAAAAATTACCAATTTTATGATATGTGAATGATGTGCTGCTAAAATTGTGTTTTGTTTGAGACATTTAAATGTGGTTTGGATGGTATTTTGGGCAATTATAATTAACTCTTTTTGCTTAAAAGCTTTAGTGTATTCTATCACTGACACTAGTTTATATATACACTAAAGTGACTAATTAGTATAGTAATACTTAAAAATTATTTAACACCCTGTAGGTATACTTATAAATATAATTTAATTATCTATTTTAGATGACTTCATGATAACATGACTTCCGTCTTAATCTTGCCACACATTAATTATTTCATGCCAAAAGAAGTAGGTAGTACATATTTAAGTACATCACGAAGAAATATGGTCTGCTTTGGAAATACTCTTGCAAATAAAGATATTCTATTTGATTCTAACATATTAATTAAGTGAACATTTTTTAACAATTTTAACAATTTATTTACAGTATTATATGTGTAGTTTTGATTTCTATACATGTACGTTTTTCTTAAATCTAGTTAGAAAACTCGTAAAGTATACATGTAACACACACATTAATTCATTTTGATAAAAAAATGACAATGTACGTATCTTCAGGCAAATGAATATATATTATTTACTAACAGAACATTTAGTTAAAAACTTCTAGTCATCAAGATTATTATATCTCACTACAACAGTAAAGGGTATAGGATTACTATCACATACTCGTATTATTACTTATTTAGGTGTACATTTTTTAATAAATTAATAGACTATAGGTAGTAATATTATGTTTCATTGCTTTAAATAGACCTATATATATTATAAGAAATTCTACGAAGATCTTCTTCATGAAAGAAGCAGTAATGTAAAGTAAGTATAGTAAACAATTTTCAGTTATCATGATTATCACTTACCAGAAAACTTACCTATGCACCTGCTCTATAAAGCTGAGGTCACTTAGTTTGTATCAGAATTTTTTTTTGTATATAGTTTATTGGTTTTAGAGACAATCATTACACTTACTTCCACAACTAGGTATATTCACTTTAATTTTCACATAAATGTTCACTACAACAATATTCATATCACTTATATTTTTCCACATGAGCTTTTACAGAAATAATACAAACATTTTAATTATTAAAATACCGTCTAGCTAGTTAGTGGCGTGCCTTTTTACAACAAAAAACAAAATGCTACCGTATTTTCACAAGTTGCAGTAATCACTATTCAAAGAAAGAAAGAAGGGGAATCGTTTATATAAATTCAAAGTTTTTTTGTATCTACAAATATAAATAATATGTACTAGAAAGTGATATGCAATTAAATTGGTATTTTTACAAGATTTTTAGTAGACATATTTTAATTGAGGCACATAATTATAACACATATTCCCAAAATTGCAGGATAAAAGTTTTTAGTTATCTTGGATTATCAAATATTTATGTCTCTTGTGTTTACCATCTTGGTAAACATAGGCCTTAAAATTGAAAGAAGTGTAGTTAGTATTTAAAATAATTCATAAGTCTAAATTTTAAGAACTGGAAGTCAAATTAATACAGAAAAAGTGACACAGAAATTTATTTTGTCGGTTCTGCATTTCAAAATATTCCAATGAATATACATAATGTGATTTTAGCCTAGTTATGTCGGATACCGGATATGCAACCAGTAAAACAGTTGACCGCAATTTTTAATTGCATGCGCATGCCCGTCTCTATTGATATTGGCAAATATTTGAATGTTTTATTTTTATCTGAATCTGAGAGATTTCAGTGGTAGTGGTGGTCTTCTTAACAGTGTAGAAGTTTTGCTGCTAGGTATCGTATATTTCTGAAAAACATACATACATAAGTAAATAAATTTTAAGATGACTCATGCGCGTATCGTACAGTCAGTTTAGCTCGGCCATGTTCGTTGATATACATTTTTAGAGTAGTGAAGTGCAGTGGCTATTTTCTAAGGGAAATACGCGAAATTCCGGCCTAAAAATGGCAGGGAACACGGGAATGGAGCAACTTATTCCCATTGTGAATAAGTTGCAGGATGCTTTTACACAACTTGGTGTTCATATGACTTTAGATTTGCCACAAATCGCTGTAGTGGGCGGACAATCGGCTGGAAAAAGCTCAGTATTAGAAAATTTTGTTGGCAGGTAAGTTTAAATAAACATTCGTCTTAACTTCTATACATTGTTGTTTATATGGCAATTAGTTATTGATTTAATTTGTGGTTAAATCAATTTCTGTTTGACTTTTGACATATTGACCTGGCTTATTGCCCAGTCAAATTCATGTTGATTTGACGTTTCTTCTGAAGAAAACGGAAACGAATATTTCTTTTTCCTCAAAGTACCTAATTCCCTTCTTTGGTTTCCACACAGTTTCCGTTGATAGCGAGAAAACGTAGGTTGTAGGTTGAATATTGATTTTTTATAATGTTGTACACAGATAATGAGTTGAATGACACACTTAATCTTTCTTGCAGAGACTTCCTTCCTAGAGGATCCGGTATTGTAACTCGCAGACCATTAATCTTACAGTTGATAAACTCCAATACTGGTAAGATAATTTCCTAATTCCACAGAATCATTAAAATTCCAGCAATTTTCTTGTTAACTTTTTTTTATCGCTTTTGAGATGTCCTACTTGAAAAGCTCAAAATTAGATAATTATTGGAATTCCAGAAAAAGCAGTAGATAATCCTTTGTTTCCAATTATTGGTAATTGTTTAGTACTTAGTAATGTTGGTGAATTCTATACTTACAAAATATTTATATACCCACTACACATATTCTATGCTTACTACGTTCTTAATAAAGAAGTATAGGCGTGTCTTTGTAAAAATGTATTATTCCAAATAATTAATAAAATTGACCTTTAGTATCAGTAAATTTTAAATTGGTAAAATAAAGAGATATTTGGGAATTTATTAATTTGCTTGTATCACAGGAAATATCTTTAGACTCCAGTATAGATACCTAGTCTATGTACATGTATATTTTTATTTTGCTTTTTTCTTTTATATTAGCTCTTATATTCCTGCTTTATTTTAATGTCATTAAATTAATTCAAATAAATTTAATACCAAAAGTCTAGGTACGAAACATATAACTACTCTATGGGCTGCCGTACTCCAACTGTCATTGAATTGTACCAGCGGTATCTAGTAAACAGCTACTAATTAATAATTATCTAAAATGAAACCAAAAAATTATATACCTGTCTAAATATTAGTAATATAAAACACATATTGGACATATTGAAATTGTTAAGTAATGTAATAATTCTTCAAAGAAATATCTTGTATTTTCATTTTTCTAATATCACTATGCAAAAATAGTTTTCAATAAACTATTTATAAAGTAAAATTGTTTTTTAAACATTTGTCACTATTTTCCTATAAATAATTGGCATATCGGTCTATTATTTTACAAATGCACAATGAGTGATTTTCAATATGTTTCATCAATTTTTTATATAAATTACATTGAATTTTTAGTATATTTAATTATGTTTCCCAAAAAATTTCTTTTGCCTATAAAATGTGGGTAAATTCTAGCGGTGGTAAAAGTTAAGCGAATTAATAGTTGTAAGTATTTCTATTTCTTAATCAAAATCTTTAATTGCACCCAATTACCCTATAAAGTGATAAAAATATTTTATGAACACAAAATAAAACTCATTTTTGGCAATAGGTTGGATGTATATGACCTATTTTAAATGTGCGGACAACCAGATATACATATACAGCTAAAAAATTTCAGGCTCAAATTTGAAGCAATTAATTTTATTAGTCATCTTCCGTGAAATCATTTTGAATATTATTTTCCAGAAATTTCATTACCTTAAATTGATGAATGTCGTTTAAATTGACCGAAATTGTAACAATTTTGTCATTCCAGCATTATTACAAATATTTTATGTGAATTGAACTAAATTCTGTAAAGAAATTAAAATTAATGTATCACTATTATTAACGTTTTCAAGTTTTAAAAAAGACCTTTGTGGGGAAATAAAGCATTAATAAATCAAAATTTGCATTTTGTTACAGATGAGGTTTTATCAATTATATTGCAGATCTGATATAATGAATTGGTGGAGTTATCTTAATCTTATCTAAAACAATAAAATCATTGCCTTTTTCTTTGTAATTTGTAATTTAATTATTATAATTTTGGCTGATATCAAGGTTAATTTTTTTTTAATTATAGACTTTCTCACTAAATTCTTCCCTTGAAGGGTTTTAGTCGAAGTTATAATAATGTCTAACTTTTATGAGCTTCTATAGTATTACTAATAAATGTTTAGAGTGTGGCAGATATAATCGGTATATGTCTGGTGATTCTACTGACGCATGATCTTATTGCTGGATTTTGCTTTAGTTGTTTCTCCCAATATAATTACAGCTCAATCAACTTTGTATGGTTGATGGTATGTGCAAACCGAGAACATGCCAAAAAGCGCACTACATATAAGAAGTTAGAGGATTGAGTGGCAGGAACAATAGTACAGTGAGAAGAGAAAGTTAAAGGCCAAATCCTTGATATCTTGTATTTGATTGCAAAAATGTAATATAGGATTTTCTTTGTGCAATTTTCTGTTCTTCTTAATGATTATAATTAAGGAACCTATCTATTTTTTTTGTTAGCAATGACAATACTTATTGTTTTTATGTTACATAACATGAATTTGTCAATAATTACTGTATCGTCTAAGCTCAATAGTCCATCAATAACATAAAATAATATTATATTTGGTCTTTAAGTGACTTATTTTTTCAGTTTAAAGACTTAAAATGTTTTTTAAATAAAAATAATTTTAATATACAGGGTGTTACAAATTAGTAGATCAAGAGATATCAATTAATGCCAACAGTTCTAGTATCTTTTTATGATATGATTCTTGGAATTTTCTAGGATTTTCTGTTTCAAATGCTTTTATGAAATATTTTCCATTTAAAAATACGAGAAGCTGTTTATTTTTGGACTGACTTTATTCTTGAAAAAGTTACAATGCGAAATATAGATATAGACATTCAACCATCTGTTCCGTCCTTAAAAAACAGCCAAAATAAAATATTGAAAAGCTAAACCTAGATACTATTATTTGATATACTAGTAATAGAGATAAAAGAAGGTATACTGTAAGAAGTCCGTTTTAATTACAGAATATGCAGAATTTTTACATTGTAAAGGCAAAAAGTTTGTGGACTTTGACGAAGTCCGCAGAGAAATCGAAGCTGAAACGGACAGGGTTACAGGAAGCAATAAAGGCATCTCTAACATACCCATTAACTTGAGGGTATACTCACCAAATGGTAGGTATAAACAATACTGAAACTCTAGCCACTTCTCAAATGAAAATATCCTTTTTAGTACTAAATTTGACCCTCATCGATTTACCCGGATTGACTAAGGTGCCAATCGGGGATCAGCCAGTCGATATTGAACAGCAAATCAGAGCGATGATCATGCAGTTCATCAAGAGAGAGTCCTGTCTCATTCTGGCGGTTACACCGGCTAACACGGATTTAGCTAATTCAGACGCCTTAAAATTAGCCAAAGAAGTGGATCCTCAAGGTAATGTCAATCAAAGCTTTTTTTCTAGCTTATATAGGTTTTTTTCTAACTCACAATTAAAATGGATTTTTTTGTTTCCATTTGAAATGGAAACACTCTTGTAGAAAAGGCATTTATTAACTGATTTAAATCTGTTTTTTTAAGCTTAAAAAATACTATTACATTGAATTTATTTTTACTTATCAAAACCTACATTTTTATGACAAAAAAATTGATTGGCAATGGTACTATGCCTCTAGATTCTGCGTCCCCTCAATGTAATTTGTACAAAATTGAGAGAACAAATATTCATTGCTCATTGTATGATTAATGTTAATTAATATGTTTTTCTTAGATGTGCAGATTCAAATTAAAAAATCAAATTTAAGATTATGGCTGAGTAAATTTTAAAAAAGCGTTCTAATAGGTTGGTCTTCTTTTATATGCATTTCTAGTTCTACATTTTACAACATTTGAACTGATTAAAAATAGAAGCAACTTTCAGGGGAAAAATAACATAATTTCTACTGTTTGTACATCTAATTTAATTTGTGTTTGCAAAACTTCTATAACAATTTATACACGTCATATTTTTCCAGATGGAAATTTTTGTTCTACAAATTTTCAAAAAATCTTGTGTTCTTCAATTAACTTCTAGGTATCCGTACAATCGGTGTTATCACAAAGTTAGATTTGATGGACGAGGGAACGGACGCTCGTGACATCTTAGAAAATAAATTATTACCCCTTCGAAGGGGTTACATTGGTGTCGTCAATCGTTCACAGAAAGACATAGAGGGTCGTAAGGACATTAACGCAGCTCTCGCGGCTGAAAGAAAATTTTTCTACAGGTATTTCAATAACTTGTAACTATTAGTTGTTTTTAACTACTATTCTTTTTAGTCATCCCTCTTACCGACACATTGCGGACCGTCTCGGTACGCCTTACCTCCAGAGAATCCTCAATCAACAGCTCACGAATCACATCCGAGACACTTTGCCTAGCTTAAGAGACAAACTTCAGAAACAGTTACTGACGTTGGAGAAAGACGTTGAACAGTTCAAACACTTCCGACCCGACGATCCCGCCATCAAAACAAAGGCGATGTTGCAGTACGTTACTCATGAAAACATATTTTAATAGGACTTTATATAATTTTTTAAATTTCTAGAATGATTCAGCAGTTGCAGACAGATTTCGACAGGACCATCGAAGGCTCCGGTTCCGCTCAAATCAACACGATGGAGCTATCTGGCGGTGCGAAGATCAACAGATTGTTCCACGAACGTTTCCCGTTCGAGATCGTTAAGATGGAGTTTGACGAGAAGGAGCTGCGTAGGGAGATAGCGTTTGCTATTAGAAATATACATGGTATCAGAGTGAGTTAGAAACCCCAACAATTAAAAGTTGGTCACTAATCATCGGTTTCTTTAGGTTGGTTTGTTTACGCCCGACATGGCTTTCGAGGCCATCGTGAAGAAACAGATTGCACGATTAAAGGAACCCTCATTGAAATGCGTGGATCTGGTCGTTACAGAATTGTCCAATGTCGTTCGATTGTGTACAGATAAAGTGAGACCCAACGATTGAATTCCGATTTGAAAAGTATCTGTATCTTTATTTTGTAGATGTCACGTTACCCGAGATTGAGAGAAGAAGCAGAGAGGATCATAACCACCCACATTAGACAACGAGAGCAGCTGTGCAAAGATCAACTTTGTGTCCTGATAGACTGTGAACTGGCTTACATGAACACGAACCACGAAGACTTCATCGGATTTGCAAAGTAAGTCGCGGCAAATGAAATTTGTTTTGTAAATGTTTCTATCCTTCTATTTTTAGCTATTGCACCTTTAATTTGTCTTGACTTAGTTTTTTTTTGTAGGCATCCGTGACTGTCGTTAATGGTTGAACGATTTCCGGGCTGGTTGCCACTGAAACTGTTTCAGAGTAACTTCTGAAGAAGAGAGCGATATGTCTCTCGAAACGTCAAGAGTTGTAAATCGACGACATGGCAACCAGCCTGGAAATCATTCAACTTTGTCTGAACATATCTAGTATATTTAATCTATCTTCCAACTCTGGTGATTTTTTCTAGTTTTTTGAAATTAAGCGTTCAGAGTGTAGCTTTATGTGAGGGTTCGATTTTTTTAGTGGTAACAGGATGTACTTCCCAGAATACTGATCTGAGATTGGACAGCTCCCGAATTCAGTTGTATGTGCGCTGTTATCTGTTTTTAATTTTTTGAACCAACTGTATGAAACTACAATGGAAAATATACTTCTTAATCTATAGATAGATAGATTTAAAATATTTTTTAAAATTACTTCATAGAAAATATTTGATTTTTAAAGCACTATGTTTAGTTTGTGAATCCCAGTGTCAATAACTTCTGACATTAGCCTAGTTTAGGTGAACTATATATACAGGGTGTTTCAAAAAGGCGTTGCCAAACTTGAGAAGAATATAGAGGATATATTGTGGTAGAAAATTTTTACATACAGGGTGTCGCGCTTAAATGTGATACAATGTGTGATATTTTTATATTGATTTCAAACATTTTTTTTAGAATGTAGGATAGAAAAAACTCTCCCTAACTGTAATGGTGTTGCTTTTATTAATGCAATACACGGCCAACTAGGACACGTTTTTTGACGTCAAAGCAGCTAATTGGTATTAGCGATTTTTTGTCTATGAATTGCATTAATAAAAACAGCAGCATCGCAGTTAGATAGAGTTTTTTTACCCCACATTTCAAAATAAATATTTTTGAAGTCGACCAAAAAATAAAGAAGTTACGGGCTTGTATCACATTTAAGCGTGACACTCTGTATAAACCGCTAGTCATAAATGAGCCGTTTGGCCCTGGAGCAATTTTTGTCTAAAAACGTAATCTTATCTCGTTGACACCAAAAGACTGATATTTAAGTAATTTTTATTAAGGATAAGGCAAAAAATGATTTAAAACAAAATAAACACGTTTATCTCTTCTGATATTTGTTTACCAACTGCATGTCCTATGGTGGTAAAAATTGATTGTATCCACAACTGTGTGATATAAGCTTTATGGCACGCATCTAATCTGGCCATGTAATGTCATCTGTGTTACGCTGTGATGAATAGTGAAACAAATGAACAGAGCTGTCACGTAGTAAATGATCGGACCCAATTGAGTGTTTCACATTTGTTTTGTTTGTCGTTTTGAACAATTATTACAAATTTATTATTTTTACATTATTTATAAAAATTACTTAATATTGGGGGCATTACGTTTTTGGACAAATATTGCTCCAATACTTCCGACGGGGTTTATATGTAGGTATAAAAAAATTTTCTTCTGCAATGTCCTCTATAACTCCCCCAAGTTTGGCAACACCTTTTTGAAGCACCCTGTATATTATCAATCCATCTGATGTGACACGACAACAGTGTTACAGTACTTATTTTTCGAAGTATTTGAGAGTTTCAGGTTAAAATCTCTTTTTATTACACTCTGTTCTTTTATTATTTTACTTGTTCCCTTAAGTTTTAAACAAAAATATGGCCTAGTTTGTAAATAAATAATTTTTAATCCAGCGCTCAAAACCAGTCCGAGAACGCAGCGGCCAAGGGCACTCGTGGGGCTCTCGGCAACCAAGTTATCCGTAAAGGGTACATGTGCATCCACAACCTAGGCATAATGAAGGGCGGCTCGAGGGACTACTGGTTCGTGCTGACTTCCGAGAATATATCCTGGTTCAAGGACGAGGAAGAGCGAGAAAAGAAATACATGTTGCCTTTAGACGGGCTTAAGTTAAGGGATATCGAACAGGGCTTTATGTCCAGGAGGCATATGTTCGCACTGTTCAATCCTGATGGGCGAAACGTTTATAAAGTAAGTCGAGGATTTACGTTGTGCTTGAAACCGCGTTTTTCAAAAACTTTCTTCTCGGTTTTTAGGATTACAAACAATTAGAACTGAGCTGTGAGACTTTAGACGAAGTGGACTCCTGGAAGGCGTCGTTTTTGAGGGCTGGGGTATACCCGGAGAAACAAACAGAGGCTGTCAACGGAGAAGAGGTGAGTGATTATATTTATTCTTACATTTTCACCTGAGCACAATATATTGGCATGTAAAATACACACAAACACAATTTTCTTTTGATCTTGCCTATTTTCTTTCTGTAGAATTCTTCTGATGTGAGTAAATTGTATTGTATAAACGTTACTTAATGTAGCAAATTGCATCCACACTTTTGCTTTGTTGTTACCAAGGTATAGACACAATTTTCACAGGAATTGTAAACTTTATGCACTCAATTCATGTAACAAGCGAGGTGGGGAACTGCTTAAGTTTTATGTAAGTTGGAACTCTGAGTAGGGGTCATACGAGGGTCACCTTTGTATGTTGGGAATAGAGAACCTAAAAAAAAATTTAATCATCGTATATGGCTTTATTATTTTTCAATTTATTTTCCGTGAAGATCAAAACACTTTTGCAGGCACTAGAACCAATCTTCAAAGCACTTTTTATATTCCAATTGGGGTACCTCCAAATCATGCATTTTGAACGCATCAGCCGCTTTCTCAGGCATCGAAAAATCGACCTTGTATTTATTTTTAATGTGCGGGCATTAAAAAAGTCATTAGGTGCCAAATCAAGGTTGTATGGCAGATGAACTCATCAATTCAACTTTTTCCGTTCTGAAAAAGTCTCTTGTTTGAGCCGATATGTGAAATCTTGCATTATCTTAGTGGAAAATGATATACAAGGTGTAAGAAGTTTGACTACCAGTACTTCAGCATGAGATAACGTAATCATAAATGAACAAAAAAGTAGTATATTACAGGTGCGTAAGATTAACAGTTTTCAAAATACAGCGAGTATTAATACTGGGGAGTTTCATCACAACTTGACAACAGCACTTAACCTGCTGATGCACACCACATGTACACGTGGCAGACTTGTCCTACGGAAAAAATGTAAACAGCTATTATTGTGAAATATTTAGTAAATTTCAAGACAATTATTTTCCAGTTTTTAAATATATAAAATGTATCGATTTTGTAGTACAAAGATAGTGTTGTGCTTAAATTTTAGCTCGAATTTTAGTAATTATGAATCTTAAGACAGGAATGTAACATTTAATCAAATTACGTATCTGAAAAATGTAATTAAAGTACCCAAAGATTCACGTCGTCCAAATAATCATTCGTATTTAAAATAATTTAGGTACTTACCAAAAAGCAAAATTCAGTAATTTTTAAAGGCACAAGTACAAAGCATACAACATATGCTCAAAATGTCCACCACCATTTTCGATGCACGTACGACACCTTCGAATCCAATTTTCACACACTCGCTGGAAAACACCTCAAGAAAAGGACATAGTGGTATGCAAAAAACACTCCGACACGGTCGAATCCAGATACCAACTGAATTGTGTATTGGTGGTTGCTGGACACCTTAGTACTTCGTGTTAATAAACTGCCGCGCCGTTGTCTCATAGCTCGAACTTTTGTACATCAAGTTGGAGATTTTGATATTTTTTTTCTCAGAAATGGTTGAGTTTAGGACCCATTGCCTGTTAAAATTCTGTTAAACTTCTAACACCCTGTTTCCCTTATTTTTCCGAAGACTTCTGGCAAGCAAGTGGTTGTGTACCATTCTGAATTGACTGTCCGACTTTGCACTAATGTACAGTTACCACATGTCCAGTTTTTTCAAAAAAAAAAACAGGCGACCATTTGCATAGAAGTGCTTCATGTGCGAACAGCTTTTGTTGGATTTGGCTCATCTTGAAGGGCCGGTAGAGTCAATTGCGTTTTGGGCTCTTATACATAGACCTATGATTTGCCACCTGTTACGATATCATAGACGTGGTTTGAAGTACAGCGATCGTATTTCTTGCAACCAATCGACATGAGCCTTTTTTTGAACGTTTGTCAAATTATGTGGGATCCATCTTGAACAAATTTTTTTGGTGGCCAAATGTTCATGCAATTTTGAATGTATGCTGGCTCCACTAATGCCCAAGGATGCCTCAGTCTCACAACAAGTCACATGATCTTGCAATATCAGTTCACCCATAGCATCAATGTTTTCTGGAACAACAACCGATTTAGGGCGCCCTTCACGTAATTCGTCAGTGAGCGAATCACAGCCACTATTGAATTCCATATACCACAAATATACAGTGGTTTTTGATGGTGCTTCATCGCCATAAGTCGAAATAAGTTCATCGATGCACTGTTGTTGATAATTGCATGGATATTTGTACATGACTTACTTCAATTTTTTGGCCTAGATGAGTTTTTCAAGTCACTGTAAACAATACACATAGTGCCTGTACGTCAAAACGTTCTGTGTAAGTATACTGAGAAAAAGTCGACCTTTACGATAGGGATGACGGTTGTCAGATGGCAGCACCAGGATTGTCCATTCCTGAAATATAAAAGGTAACCCTCGTATTTTCTAACAATATCGAGAACAGTTTCCTACATCTCTTTAGTAAAATCTCGACACAATGCAGCTGTTACTAGAATAATATAACAAATTGTTGTTTTACAGAAAAGACGGGCAAGTATTTCTAGAAGTTATAAATGGTCAGGGTTGTATTGGTTTTAATATTTAGTAGCGCTGTAGATAATAGGCATTTTACAATCTCATACTTATTCTAGCCAAGGAAAATGAAATCAGAGAAACTGATTGGAATAAATACAATATATATATTTTATTTCTGGTACCAGTTAGTGATTTTACGAGTAATTTATAGAAGTGTGGCTAGGGTAAATGTGGGGCGTTACTAAACGATACTTAACTATTTACAAACTGCTTCAGCTGACTAATATGACTATACCTTGTGTGTACTTTCTTGCATTTAACCCTTGTGTTTGTGTGTTTTGCTTCTGATGCTGCAGGGAGATAGTTATCAGGTTTGTAACATGTACAAAGAATTCCAACACTCAAAACCTCAGTTGAGAAAACTTCCATCTTCACATGTAAACTAAAAATTTTTATGAGACAGTGGTTTCACACCCCTTTCAGTAAATTCATCTAATTAATTAAAAGCCAAAAATTGTTCACTTTTAATGCAATATGAACGAGCTTTTTTAAAACTGTGAGTGTGACAGCTCTCCAAAAATAACACTCAAAATTGGTCCTCCATTATTCTCAAACATTTTCTTGAGAATGCTGAATATTCTCCAAATTCTTAAGTGCTCTACATTTTTCAGTATTTACAAAAGTAATATTTAAAAATTAGTTATTAAAAGAGTGCTTGGGTAGCATAAAATTTGAGAAAACTCCGAAATAAGTTTCTCTTTTATGTTTCCGAACTGAACGTTCATGCATAATCTTTTTTCTGCGAATATTGCCAAGCATACATTATCAACGTACTTGCCTTTACAATACTTGGGCCAGTGGCGGCTCGTGACATTGAGAATTAGTGAAGCATATTCATTGATTGACTAAAAAGAAAAAAAAGAGCCGCAAGCGAAAATTTTCAAATTTTCAATGTCAAATGGCTTTAATTGGAAATTTTTAGTTGCATTTGCAATATTGCCGAAAAACTGACGTTTGCAAGAAGGATTTTCATTTAGATTTTATAGAAAATGGAAATATTAATTCGACTTGTGGACTTCTGCTAACGTTAACGCACACCGTATATGTATGTTCCAAAGAAGCTTCGTGGTTACGACATCCTCGCGTGATGTTTCCAAAATTGTTAAATCCCTCCTTATTCCACATGCCCGACTTTAAACCCACAATTGAACACGTCATACAGAAAGTTTTTTTTAAATCAACACTTCCACACAACCACTTATACGCCGAATACCATTCATTCCGAAACTTCCGACGTACACATTGTCTTTTGACTTCCCCTTTTTTCCACGTCAAGAGAATAAGGCGCAGGTCTCTTGCAATTTAAAAAATATTTTTTGTCCTCAATTTTCCATCTGGAAAATGACATTTCCAATAAAATACATACTGGATCATACATATGAAACATTTCTACAATTATTGTACAAAACAAATATTAACAAAACCGTTATAATCGTGTACTGGGTGATGCGTATCGTATAAACTGTTTAAAGTGGTGATGACAATGCTGCTTAATTTTCACTTCACTCGTTCTCCCACGCCATAGTTCACTCCCGTGTTGACCGCCTCGTTGCCATGATAACCGCCATAAACAACGCTATGAAGAGATGTGAAATACAGACTGATTTTGATCTGCGTCACTTGCTTATACATTATATGGTACGAGGTTGATGTTCGCACTCAACGAAGGCAATGTTTTTTTAGAAGGCGTTCACCGCACAACTATTCTGTTTATTTCTATGTATTAAACAAACAAACAATACATTTACAATATAGAATTATACTTAAATTGTAAAATTTATATAAAATTAAAAATAATTTTATATTGCACAACCAAACGGAAATTTTAGGTGAAGCGTTGTGTGCATCACTTGCGTCACCTGGCGAGCCGCCTCTGACTTGGACTAATAAACATATTACTTTTAGTTCAGGTGATTGCAATGAACAGTCTCCAGTGTACTAATTTGCTCAATAACTTGCCACAAGTTTGTCATGATAATTCATGACGAGTTCGCAAATATCTATCCATGATTTGTAAGTTTTCTGGTTATGTTAATGGAACATGATCCACTCCAAATTTTTGAGGTTGATATGATTACTGTAAATAAACCTGCAACTTTTGAGTACCTTCTTAACCTCAAGCTTTGACTGCATTTTTTTTTCTTATACACATCTGTACAGAAACAGTTACATTTTTTATATGAAAACATCAACTACTTATTCTGCATAATTGGTTTTGTAATATCGTTTTTATGTTTAGTCGTCGGGAGAAAATCTAACGAGTTCCATGGACCCACAACTGGAAAGACAAGTCGAAACAATAAGAAACCTCGTGGACAGTTATATGAGAATCGTCACCAAAACCACAAGAGACCTAGTACCGAAGACCATCATGTACATGATCATCAACCACACCAAAGAATTCATCAATGGAGAACTGTTAGCACACGTTTACGCCAGCGGAGACCAGGTATGATTTAAGAAGAATCGGTAGGTCCGATGACGAGTAGGTGTACTGTTTGGTAGCCGCAATGATCAGTAGACGTGATCGTTTTGTCTAATTTTTACCTTACAGTCTCAAATGATGGAAGAAGCACCGGAGGAAGCACAAAAGCGTGAGGAAATGCTACGGATGTACCATGCTTGCAAGGAGGCCCTTCACATCATCGGAGACGTCTCCATGGCCACTGTTTCTACTCCTGTACCACCTCCGGTTAAGAACGACTGGCTGGCCAGCGGACTGGACAACCCTCGATTATCACCACCAAGCCCAGGAGGACCACGAAAGACTACCCCCAGTATGGGAACAGTTGGTTCTAGTGGTAAATTGCACAGGCTCACATTTTTATTTCTCTGTAACTGCACGCTATCGGTGGTTCCGTTTGAGGTTTTGTGTGAATTGTCTCGGGTTTTAACTGATAACGAAGAAAAATTTTCTGTAATGACATTTTCCTGTAAAATTTCAGGGATTCTTCTTTCACATTTGTAATTATAACCGTAAAAAAAAATTTTCATAGCTCAACTTAAAGTAATGATATGGTGTCACCGTTTCTCGTATGCGATGTGTACTAAGAGCTGTCAGAATTGAGCTATTACATCACAGGAATTTCCTAACCTCAAAAAACAGGTCAAAAATAGCAAAAATTCACGGAAAAGTGCTAGGAAAAATACAATTTTTTTTTTTCTATATTCTAATGTTGATTTATGTGTATAAGACCCCGCCGAAGGTACATCTGTGGTCAGAATTGATGCTTCTCTTTCTAAACTAAAAAAAAACAGGTCCTGAATTTTCAAAAAATAAAAGATTCGCGCAAAATTTGGTATACGGGAGTATTTGGGGTCGCTGATCACGGATCCGATGTCAATTTGCAAAATTCAAGATGGCGGATCCAAGATGGCCGACCAAATTTTCAAAAATTAACACATTCATGCCGAATTTGGTATACAAGGGTTTTCGGGGTCACTGATCACAAATCCGAAATTAGATTTACAAAATTTGTTTTTAAAAATTTTATCATTTACCTATGTACTTTATTACCTGAGATTAGGCAGAAAACCCGTTAATAGATTTTTTCCAGAAAAAAGAAAAATATATAGCCAAAAGAAATAAGGTTAAAACATGATTCGGAACTCAGGTTATAAAATAAACAAAAATATTACAAACTGTATTTCGCAATTCTGACCTCGAAGTCGTAATCAGCGACACCGAAAACCCACGTATACCAAATTTGACGCGAACGTATTAATTTTTGAAAATTTAGTTGGCCATCTTGGATCTGCCAACTTGCAACTTTACAAAATTGACCTCGGATACGTGATCAGCGACCCCAAAAACTGCCGTATATCAAATTTGGCGCGAATGTGTTATTTTTTTCAATTTTGGTTGGCCATCTTGGATCCGCCATCTTGAATTTTGCAAAATTGACCTCGGATCCGTGATCAGCGACCTCGAAAACTACCGTATACCAAATTTGGCGCGAATGTGTTATTTTTTTAAAATTTGGTCGGCTATCTTTTTCCGCCATTTTGAATTTTACAAAATTGACCTCGGATCCGTGATCAGCGACCCCGAAAACCCCTGTATACCAAATTTGGCGCGAATGTGTTATTTTTTAAAACTGGTCGGCCATCTTGGATCCACCATTTTGAATTTTACAAAATTGACCTCGGATTCGTGATCAGCGACCCAGAAAACCGCCGTATACCAAATTTGGTTCTAATCTTATTTTTTGAAAATTCGTGATATCTCCTTAATTGATCCGTTTTTTTGAGGTTAGAAAAAGAGCCATCAATTCTGACCGCGGATTCACGTTCGGCGGGATCTTAACCATATAAATAAACATTTGAACATAGAAAAAAATTGTTTTTGTATTTTTCCTAGCACTTTTTCGTAAATTTTTGGTATTTTTATTTGGTTTTTGAGGTTAGGAAATTCCTGTGATGTGATAGTTCAATTCTAACACTGGATTCGTGATCAGGAGGCAAAAATACTACGGATAACAGAGTCGCATGAAAAGACTACTTTTTTTTTTTGTGGCTGTGCAATTAATTTTCCACGATTTTAACATTTGGAGAAAATGCTAAATTTTAAAATTATTTACAAAATAATAATACAGTGCCCCAGCATCACATTTTTGGATTTTTATTTACAAAAAAATTTAATAGAAAAACAAAAATGGATGTCCATCAAAAAAATACCCAATTTTCTTTCCGCCTTTTATATCGGCTCATTTTTATTAAACTTTATGACAGAGTGTGTATAACTTACACTTTTGAGGAAAGAGACATTTTACTAACATAATATTGCTTTTTTCTTTAGTTGCATGTAAAAATACCTGTTCCATTAGTTAATTAAGCATGGCTTTTAGTGCTTACGGATTTGGACCAGTAATCGAGAAAAAATTGTACTCGTTATATTTATTATGTATTTCATTTGCATAATTTGTCGGGCAGTTATGAAAATACATTTATTACAGTTCAAATTGTGTTTTCTTTTGTTCTGTGAGCAAGAAACGATCAGAAATATTTTATTCGTTGATCTAATTGAAATCGATTAAAAAAAATTTTGGGAATGGTTGTTTTAAGGCTTTCATGGCCCCTCTGCGAAGGTTTTTCGAGTTGTTATGCCATGGCCTGTACACCTGGTGGTTGTCAGTTCCTGGTTTACACTGCACTTCTAGGAATCTTTGATATGCCCTTGTTGTTCTCAGGCTAGGCTCTATGGGGGCAGATCCGCTATCAGAAAGTCTAGGCTTGCTCTGATGTTAATTCCGGTCATTGGATGTAACCAGTTGTAGAGGTCTCTGTTGAACGTCTCCGAGAACCACCATTGTTCAAGAAGTAGTTCCACCTGTAGCTGCCTTAGGACTGATACTAAGGACCAAAATGAACGTCGAGGCGGTTCTACAGGTTCTCATAGCGAGTTTGCCCCCATAGAGTCTAACCCGAGAACAATAGTACAATAAAAATTCTTTGCTAAGGTTATGGAAGTGCAACATAAGTATTTAACTGGCGGCGACCAGGTACATAGACTACAGCACAGCAGCCTGACAAAACATTGCATTTTAAATATTTTGAAATGTTTCCTTTTCAAGATAAATTCAAAAATATTGTTTTAAAATAAATAAAAAAAATTGGCAGAGAAAGTGAAATATATTTTAAATAAATATAGGACATTCCACGCCAAATCGACCACTTTTAACGACCCCTTTCGATTTGGCTGAAACTTTTTGAAAAAAAAAAATAGATTAAAATTCTCTGGACCTATCCACTGTTTTTTTCTTATAAAAAACTGACATTTTTTATAAATCCTCAAATTTTTGCAGTAGTTTTTTCGTTTTCTATTTTTTTATTGATTGAAAAAAAAAATTTTTAAAGTCCAAAAATGGACGAAATAATAACTTTATTTTCCATTTTCTTAGTTTTTGGATGTAGTTTTGGAAAAAAATACAAAAAAATTATTCAAAATCTATTTTTTTCTTAACTTTTTAAAAAAAAAATCAAAATTTTTTTCGTTTACCACTCAATTATTTCTTTCATTTGAAAAAAAAATTTTTCAATCAATAATAATAATCAGACGAAAAACACCATTGAAACAATTTGAGGATTTATAAAAAATGTGTTTTTTATAATTTCAAAAATGGTAATCGAGAAATTTTCGTTTCTTTTCGAAAATTGAAAAAAAAACAGTGAAGATAGGTCCAGATAAATTTAATCTATTTTTTTTCAAAAAGTACATTTAAAAACAAAAATTTTGAAAAAAAACCTCCCGATAACTCAATTTTTGAAAAAGTTAGTTACAAAAAAAAGCAATTTTTTTCAAATATTTATAACTTTTTTAAGTTGGGTGAAAAAATTTGAAAAAATTCTCAAGAGGTTTTCAATAGGGTAAAAAACAATAAAAAAATTTCAGCCAAATCGAAAAGGGTCCGGGTTAAAAGTGATCGATTTAGCGTGGAATGCCACATATATTTTATTCATAGATATTTCAAAAAAAAAGAAAAAAGAAAAAATAAGCGAAATAACAAATTATGAGAGGAATAAGAGAAAAAATATGAATTGGTGGCAACTATTAATTGTTAATAAAACAAAATCAAATTAGAGCTTGCATACAAAAAGGCCGCTCTACTTGATCCTGAAAAAATTATACTAATTTTCTGCAGGTTCGCTGGGCTCAAGGGCGCCCCCACCCCCTCCTAGCACGGGCAGACCCGCTCCCGCCATTCCCAATAGACCAGGCGGAGGTGTTCCACCCATGCCTCCAGGCAGACCACAGGGACAGGCCTTGCCCGCCCCTCTTATTCCCACGTGAGTACTTTTTTCTCTACTAACAAGTTAATCCGTGTTTTTAGAGTCGCTCCTTCCCAGCCATTAATTTTTAGAAAAAAAAAAAAAATTTTGTATTGGTGGTAGTAGTGTTGTCGTATGATTGTTAATAGTAGTGTATTTCTAAAGAAATTATTTTCTAAGCCTTTGTTAAAAATTTTGTCAGTTCCCTTGCAAAGATAAGAAATCTGAAACTTTGTCTTGGAACTATAATTTGAGTGCTCAGTTTTTAGCTGTACCGTGGAGATATTGGTTATCTTAAGAGATACAAAATCCGTCAACTTAGGGTAAAGTTCTCAAATTTATAAATTAATAACTAGAATTTGGCATTTGCTTGAGAAAAAAGTAGCAATACTAAAAAATTAAAAATTTAACTATTTTAAAATATGAATTTATTAAAATAAACTTACCTGCGTCTCGTTGTGCAGCATGTGGAAAGTAGACCTTAGAATATATAGGCTGCCTAAAAAGGACCCGAACACCCCAATAACTCTTTACGGCTGAATCCTATCAAAAAAGTTTCAGATAAAAGTTGTAGGAAATCAAGAAACCAATGTGCCGGTAACCTTGGGTTTGAGCTTTACCCTAAGTTTTAAGGTGAAATCCAGATTAACTTATAAATATTAAATCAAACATCCTGTTTTTTATTCCAGCAGTCAATATAACGTCAGATAGTATAGTCTTTCCGAAGTCAGTTGAACATGAATAAAAATGCCTAGCAATAAAATTTAGAGTTTCATAGGCGTCTCTAAAAAAATTTTCTGTTGAAGGTATAATGTGTAGAAAAATTTCTATTATACGTTCATTTGGCCAACAACATATTTTAATTATTTATGTCCTCAATCAAGTTTATTATATTGATGGTAAATTTTGTTTTGTTCCGTTTCAAAAGGTCTCCAAATTGCCATGTTGTAATAATATTATTTCTCCCTTTCGCAATAATTGTAATATCAATGATGATGATGATGATTAATAGAAGGTGCCTACTTATAATAAATTAAAATTACCTGAATCACACCAAATTCCGCATTGCTGCATTGCACTGCTAGGCAATTTGTCAACCACTTGTCAACAACTGAGATTTATTGCCCACAGTAGTTGTATTATATGCCGCTTGCCCGTGTGTGTATTCTTCAACTGGGTGCATACATTTCTACCACTTCCACGTTTAGTTCGACCAGACCTGTATATGGGTATGGCTAAATAGATATGAGAACAAGTTTTTCAAATGTTTCAATGCTGAGTAGCTGTGGTAGAGGTGTTTTAATATCTTATGAGCCTCGAAATGTGCGAAAGGCGTGGCGTATCCGCATAATTCTTGTAATAAGTATGTTGTGAAAACATTGACTCAGAATTAGATCACGTGCCTCATTACAACCAGAAATGAACTAAGGCGCTCGGGCATCAATAAAGTCAACTGGCGAACGTTCGTTATATATATTTTTATTGCTTAATTTAAAATAATAAAGAATAGGGCATTTTATTATGATATTTGTAATCGGATCAAAGGCTTGTTTACGCTACGAGAGTTCGAGATAGACTGTGAATAATATATGTAATGTTTTTAGGACGTAGAATAATTTAGGCGACGGTCGGAATTATGTTTCTGCGCATATGAAGGTCAAAGCTCATAAAGAACGCCACTCACGTTCCAACGTCGCAGTACAATTTTGTCGAATGCGACAAAATTGAACATAATTTGATCGTGTATTTTCGCTGTTCGACCAAGTTGGTGCGATTTGATTTCAGACAAACCAGTCAGTCTGCTGCAGTACGGCATTGTTGCTTGGGTCGTTTATTTGACCGTGTATTGCGACTTGCGATTAGATTGTACGATTTTAATACTGCGAAACAAATCATTTGCTAGTGAATTTCGAAAATGGCTTATAGCGAGACATTTTTAAGAGATTTTTTTTGACCTGTATAAAGAGCAAGAATGTCTTATCGCCATCATATCATGATAAAATCGCAATTCTTCTAATAAATGGACGTGACTGTATGCATGTCTTTTTAATAATCAGTTTTTGTACCACCACCTACGCTTCTTGTGTTTTTTTCGTTTTTTTTCGGTTTTTTATTTATTTATTTATTTATTTATTTATCTTGTTGTGGACAAAAAAGGATTGTATAACAATAGTCAAATAAACATATAATAACTTAACCTAGGACACAACAGCAGAAAAAAATTCCAATAAAGAATAAAAACACTTATCTACTAAAAATAATTTCAGTTTTTGTTTAAATTGAGATATTGTAATCTTATCAGTCTTGAGTTCACTCGGTAAATGGTTATATATCTTAAATCCCAAACAATCTGGTGAATTAGCTGTTATGGTATATTTTGCAAAAGGAATTCGGATATCATAGCATTGTCTGGTATTGATTGTATGTATATCCTTATTCAGAATTAAAGACTCCTTATTATTATATATATACACAGACATTTCAAAAATAAATAATGATACTAACGTAAGAACATTAAAATTCTTAAATATATCTCTACATGTACGATGACTTGGCACGCCAGCAATTATTCTTAAAATACGTTTTTGTATAACAAAAACTGAATGAGACAAGGTAGAGTTACCCCAAAAACATATTCCGTAACGCAATCTAGACTCCACGTATGCATAATATAAATATAACAATTGTTGTTTGTGCAAAATTTCTTTCATAGACTTCATTAAGTAGCTTACTGAACTTAATGTAGATATAAGATTATTGCAATGCATTTTCCAATTTAATGTATCATCCAAAGTAACTCCTAAAAATTTGACACAGTCTGTTTCATCACTAGTAATAGTACAGTTGTTAATATTTGCCGCAACAGATTCGCATTTTCTTTGCCTATTGTGAAATCTAATTAATTTAGTTTTGTCGGTATTTAAATATAAGTTATTACAACTGAACCACTTAGACACATTGTACAATGTATTTTCTAGATTAGTAGTCAGGTCTTTTGTTGACTTATTTGAAATAATTAATGATAAATCATCAGCATACATTGTGAAAAAATTATTACCTATCGAACGCTCCAATGAATTTATATAAAGAATAAATAGTACAGGGCCTAGGACTGAACCTTGAGGAACACCCATGTCAATGGAATTAGATTCGGATTTAAATTCGTTAGTAAAGTCATCATTTGTAGAAGTAATAGACACATATTGTTTTCTATATTTTAAAAAAGTAGAAATCCAGTTTAAAGCAGAACCCCGGACACCATACTTATACAATTTTTGTAGTAAGTTATCATGCTGTATGCAGTCGAATGCCTTACTAAGGTCACAAAAGATGCCTACGGGGCACTCACCCATGTCAATACATTTAACAATTTCACCGTAAAAAGAATGTATGGCAGTAGTAGTTGAAAATCCTGCCCGAAATCCATGTTGATGAGTGGTTAAAATACTATATTTATTTATAAACGACATTAGTCTATCTAGATAGGCGTATTCAAAAATTTTTGAGAAACCACAGGACACAGTAATAGGCCTGTAATTATTTAATAACTGTGGATTCCCCTTTTTTAGAACAGGAATTATTTTCCCTATTTTTAGTATCTCCGGAAAAACTCCAGTCTGAAATGATAAGTTGATCAAAAAAGTTAGTGGTTCTATTAAAGCCGGTAATGCACGTTTTATTAAAAACAAGGGAATGCCATCCGCTCCAGCTGACCTTTTATTTTTTAATTTTTGACTAAGCACTCTAAACAATTCCTGCTCAGTAAACGGAAAAAGAAAAATTGTATTATCCAAAAATACATCATTTATGTTTACTCTACTTGTATAATTTGCAGTATGATCAGAACCACGAATTTTATTTACAACATTCACTGGAGCGCCAGTAAAGTAACTATTAAAAGTTGAAGCAATTTCTAAAGGATTGTCTATTAATTTATTATTACTTTGGATAGCTACAATATTCGATTCCTCTTTTTTTTTATTAGATAATTCAGAAACAATATTCCAGGCAGTGCGTATGGAATTATTGGAATTGCAAATTTTATTTTGATAAAATAGTTTCTTTGTTTCGCGAATTAATATAGTATGCTTTTTTTTATTTTCTTTATAAGTGGAGTCTAAATTGGGATTTGTTTGTTTTAAGTAATATAAATCTTTTATATTACAACTAGACTCGATAATTTCATTAGTTATCCACATCTTTTTCTGAACATTATACAAAGCGCAAGAGCCGCTAAAAGTGTATTTTCATCTGACATGTTTATCATTTGAAGGTAAAACTCGTACTGCAAAATCGTTACGTGTGTGTTCCCATCCGATTTCCAACACAATTGTACTGCAATCGCATTCGACAAAATTGTACTGCGGCGTTTGAACGTGAGTGGCGTTCTGGTATATCATTTTTCTCTGAATAACTCGACAAGATCAAAATATAGAGCGTAGTATATGCAGCAAAATATTTTTTCTTGTTCAGAAAGTAGAAGAAAACCCATTATGAATCACAGGAAATGAACTAACCGTACATTAATGTTTTTAAATAATTAGTGATGCGATTGTGAGAATAAGTGAGAGAATATTTTTGTTGTAACGAAATTGACAATGGTCAATTGAAATCAGAATGTTGATGAGAAAAATGTAATAATTTTATCTTGAATCTAGGTTTCATACACAGTACGGTGGAATGAACCACAAAATACAGTATTCTTATAAAAGAAAGGAGTTAAATGATGTGAAGTTGCTTTGCTGGTGCTTGCAAGCCTTGCACATTAAATCGAATATGGATTTTGTTTTTGTTTAAAATATTTTTCTCCACAGTTCGATCACGTCGAGTTATTCATGACATACTCGGACCATACTCCCATATTCATATTTAAATTTGGTGCATTATCGATCGCTGATATAAAAAATAGGTTGTTCAATAGTTCAGCTTGGTCTGGCCATACACATTAAGGTGAAGGTTGACTCCAAGGTCACCCTATGAATTATCTTTCAAAATCCTACAAATTTTGCTTAAAACTTTTTTCTTCACAATTCAATCTTGTCTATCGATTGCTTCATGAAAAAATAGAGTGTTCCATTTAATATTTACGAATTGACCTTGGCTTGACCTTGACACAGGGTCAAGATAGAATCCAAAATCTAAAATATGTCCTTTTTGTTTCCGTTTAAGTCTGACCACGTATTATCTAACAGTTTCTTCATTTATACTGTGCATGTGACGATCCAATTGACATATCAGAGTAAAGTACATATTAAGTACGTATTAAGTATATATTTGTGCCAAAATAATCAAAATTCTTCTTTGTTGTCATATACATCAGAATATTACTCATACTGAACATAAAAAATTAGGCCATGTAATAAAAATACCCAGTGTGGCAGCTCTAAGAGTTCAATATGTCATCGCTTCACAAAACAAGGTATTTTATTACCACTCCCATTATTGTAAATTGGGAAAACCTTTGAAATTGAATAATTTGGTAGCCATAGCTTGAACAACATTTTAAAATTTAAAATTGCAGATGCAGAGACACCTATGGCTGCTGTGCGGATAAGCCGCATTATTTACACATCAAAATAACAAGTTGATCGATCTGGTGTCTCTTAAAATAACAGATCTCCATGATGTGGGTCGAAAACACCCAGTCTATCAACATTATGAGGCGCATTTTATACTTTGAATATTGTGAAAAATTAATGGCTGGTTGTCTGAGAATGTGACCGTTGCCACAGGTTGCTTGTTTGAGCTTGTGGTTTTCTTTTCAGGAGGCGTTAAGAACGTAATCTACACTAACTTTTCAGTCTTCACACAATATTATATATAAGTCCATATTAGGGCATATCACGTAGTATTCGTGCATAATTGATTTCTTAGTGGAGCTTGCCCATTGCTTTTGGATTTACACATATATTACAAAACAGGCAGAAAGTTTCACGCCTCATATAATCAGAATGTCGGAAAATTGTGCTTCTAAATGTTTTTGAGAAACAAATGAGAAAGTTCCTGCCTTTTTCCCAAGTTTTAATCCACATTACAAATGGGTAATCGATATATCGTTGAAATCAATTATGCATTATTGTTATTACGAGTATTAAAATAGGGTGCTATGTTTGTTACACATGCTCTGCTTCACATAGAATTGTGTCTTGTGAAATATTAAAAAAAAGTGTTGTTATCGAATATTATAATTGTACATTGATCTGTGTATTGTACATTGTTGAAATTTACGCTTCAGCAAATTCTTGCCTGATATTTCTTTTGTTCTGGATCAAATGAATTTGTAGAAAAATATTCTGAATGTTTAAGGTCTATATTTTGATGAAATGAAATTTTTAGAATAAATTTGTAATATATTGAACAGATTATGAAACGGACAATTGAAAAACAAGCGACGAATATAACTTTAAACACAGGTAGATTGAATACGCTAATCTAAATATTTATCACATGTGCTTATTAATTTTGTTTAATTTTACTAAGTTTACTAATTTACTTCATGGAAAATTTAAATAATTCCAATTTGGTACAATTTTTTTTATTAAATGAATTAAACCAAAAACTCTTTTTTTTGGTGAATTTTTTTGGTCATCGTGTTACCGCCTAGCCTCAGGGGCGCCATATTAGTTTTGGCATTTTTTGTTTTTACCAAAATATCTATCTCTCTATCAAATAATACATCTTTACAAAGATGCTTTGAAAACAAAATATCCACCTATTACTCATTCATTGTCTCAGAACTGAAACTGAGATTTTCGCATGAAAAAGAAAAATATGCTTCAAACTTATTTATTAATAAATTTAAAGTATATCTGGCTTTGCAACAACTGAAAGTAAGATTGTAATTATTTTAATTTTGACATTTATGTAAATTAAATGGTACTGCCAAAATTTTATGTGGAGTAATAATTGTTTTGTTTTCAAAGCACTCTTTGCAGAAGGGGTACTTGCTTTAATTGGCAAAAACAAAAAAGTGTCGTATGACACATTGCGATCAGAAAAATGTATCAATCAATATTTTCAGTTTTTTGGTAGATAACTTTAAAATGAAGAATGATGGGTCAAATTTTTATTTGGCTCGTTATGTACCATCAAGTTCTACAATTTTCCCCTGTTTTTGGAGATAATCACGTTGTGACATAAAAAGCAGGCAGTCGGTAGGATATAAATAACTATAAAGTCATGAATTATTTTGCCAAAATATTCTTATATATCAATCATAATTGAAAGGAAATTTTACATTTGAAAATCAGTGTAAATTGATTGAACAGTCCCGCATTTTAAGTGTGATAAATCGTTTTGATTAGCGTATACTAATAAAACGGAGGTTAAGAATTGTCTCTCATCTGTTCAGTCGAGTCGGAGGCCAGCAGCAAGGCAACATCCAAGTGCCTCAGCAGGTTCAGATGGCCGTGGGACGTGCCGTCACCAATGCCGCCGTCAACGAACTTTCCAACGCCTTCAAATTCCATAAGTAAAAATTTTGTTGTTTTCTGCCCTCTGTACTTCATGCATCGTCTGTTATGTTTAACCCATGGCTAATTAATTACTAACCAATGGCTCGATTGTTTGCGAATGATACATAAAGTATGTTCTCTTGATTTTGGTTAATGCTTTGTCAGTTTCATTAACTAATACTCATTTCTAATGAAACGGTTCCATCGGCTCTTTAAAATATGATGCTTGCCTTCAAAATTTATCGGTAGTAGGGGAAAGTGCGTCGACCGGCGTCGTAATATGTGATTGTTAATTGCTTCGTGAATTCTGTGATATATGATTACAAAAATTTTTTAATTGCAATTTGCAAAACTATAAATTTATTTGAGATTAACTGCTTCCGTTCCAAAAATGTTGGCGTTATTTTAAGGGGGTATAAAAGTATTAGATTATCCATAATAATCATTAAATATAAGCAGATTTTTTATCTTGCCTTTAGTTTACAGATTTTTTTACTTTTTATATTTTACGAGACATATTTTATGTATAACCCAGTTATTGAATATTGTCGGTTTCATATCAAGTTTCATTCCATTTAAAGACTTAATTTCGTAAATATTATCGGTGTATTATAAAATGCTGCTATGCAAAATTGTATGATATTGCCTTAGCAAATATAAAGTATTAGAGCCATACATAACATTCCAAAAGTTTTGAACAAAATTTTACTAAGTGTAATAGATGATAGGTATCATAAATTTAAGCCGTATGTGCAATTTCACCAGAACGCACATTGTTGAAAAATAAGATCTTCCGTGTAGTATATACAGTCGCCTAACCTAAATGTCTCTTCACTAATTACATAGCTTCAAGGGGGATCATAAAATGTTGCAAGTTCTTATATTTTGGCTACACAAGTTAAAAAAATTAATTCTTTTATTCTGTTGCCGGTTCTGTGAACTGATAGGAGATTAATAGGATTTTATAATATGTCATTCTTTTCTTTTTCGTGCATTATGAAAATTTACTTGCATAGGTTTGATCATTAAACCTTAAAAACAAAGAACATTAATAAAGGACCCAGACATTAGATCTAGGATCTTTTTGAAATATCCTAATTCGAGAACAAAACAAATGGAAAGAAAATTTTGAAACTTTTCTTTTTGTTTCTATTGCAAAAAAATCTAAAAACTGCAATATTTTGTCGATCTACCGATTATATACAATTTTAATGTATCTTCAATCTGTAAATCCTGTAGGAAGTTATTTTGCACTGAGTTAGTCAACGTTTTTAATGTCAGTTGATTAGCTGTAGTTGTTTTTTGGTACAACAGTTCGGGAAACTTGTAGACATTGTAGAAGACTTGAGAGTAAAACTGTAGATTTTTCTGTATTTTAGAAGGAGTCAATTATTGACGTTATTACTATGGAGTCTGAGATTATTTGGACAGCTGTTTTATTTCTGCCCTTAAAAATATGTAAATTTAAACAAATGCATTCTATTTCACATACTGTGGAAGAAAAAGTTCTTAAACAAAACAAGTTTGAAGAATTTAATTTAAAGGTACTTTTGAAATTATCTGAAAATTCAGTTGAAAGTTAAAGAAAAACAATATTTTTCCCTAAAAAGATAATATAGTGTTATATCAGATTATATTTTTATTTTGAAATCCCACAATTTGTTCTGAGTAACTGAAAACACAAAAGCATTACAATGTCTTATATGTTTGAACCACTCGCACCAAATTTTAACTGGTGATAAAACTTTAAAATAGGAAGAAAGTTCTTCCATTGGTGAGAAATGCTTAGTTTCTGAGGTACGGAATGTTCAATTAAAAAAAAGAAAGTATTTATCCAAATATATTGAATTTTTGAATGAATTGAAAATATTTGAAGTACGAGGGTCATTCAAATATAAATGAGAATTAATTTTTTTCTTATTGATAAAATTAAATTCACAAAAAATGTCTCATTTTTCTACATAATCGCCTTCCTTTGAAACACATTTTTCCCACCTGATTGGGAGCTTTTTGATTCCGTCACTGTAGAAAGAAGGATGGCAGGTCGTTAGCCAGTTGCGCACGAACGCCTCCATCTCTGTCACCAGCGAAACGCTGCCCTCCCAAAGCCTCTTTCAATGGCCCGAACATGTGATAATCACATGGGGACAGGTCCGGACTGTGGGTGGGTGTTCGAGAGTTTTCCAGAACATTTCTTCCAATTTCTGGCATGTTTGGTTTGCCGTATGGGGTCGAGCATTATCCTGGAGCAAAATGACGTTTCTCATGGGTTGGCGACGTCTTTTGCTTCGATAAGCGGCCCTAACCTGTTCAAAAAGTCTACAGTAGTAACCAGCATTAATTGTTCTCCGCTCGTGTAGAAAATCCAGCAGAAGGATTCCTTTTGAGTCCCAAAAAACTGTAGCCAGAACTGTACCCGCTGACAAGCGCGATTTGGAGCGGCCTTTCCTTTTTTTCGTCATTCCATGCTCACTTGCTTACTTTTGGGAGTATAATGACGGTCCCACGTCTCATCGCATGTCACTATACAGTTGAGAAATGCGTCCCCTTCAGTACGGTACCATTGCAAATGCCGTTGACAGATGTCAAGACGAACATTCTTCTGTTCCCCCAAGAGAAGGTGTGGCACCCAACGAGCTGACTTTTGACAAACCAACCTCATCACAGATGATGGTATGGATAGTCCCGACACTGATCTTCACATCACGTTATTTCTGTGACTGTCCAACCTCTCTCGTCCTTCAGAGAAGGCTTTGTGCTGAATAAACACACGGGGTTGTTATCTCTGCAAAATTTCAGCAGAGCGGACCCCCTCCCGCGTCAAAGAATTTTATGATAATCCATTGCGCAACAGATGGGTGTACTTCCATCTCGCTCATCTTTGCCTTTATTTGGCTAACGGTCCTAGGGCCGTGTCGACTGCAATCCCCCACTCGTCCGATTCCTACCAACATACCCTGTCCGTACCTGAACCAATCGGTGCCCTTTCAGGATGTCCACCTCGACTTTTTCATTTATATTTGAGTCACCCTCGTATATAAATGCTAATAATTTACCCAGTTAAAGGCAAAAATCCATTGAATTGATTTACACGACGTAAACCAGTGGTGGTGATTCTGGAAGGTACTGGAACTGGAACCTCAAAATTTCGACTGCACCAATTTTTTTTAGAATGCCTAAAAAATTCATTTACGTAAATATTAATTTTTTTGCAAATTGTGGCTCTTGCTCTTTTAGAAATTTCCTTGGCAATGGTTTTTTTGGACCTTCGATAGTTATACTGTATATAAAAATGTGTTTGGAGCAAAAAAATTCCTAAACATTCATTTTATGAAATGAATACTTTTAGAGATATTTCAAATTTATTCAACTATGTACTAAGCTTATTTTTAATTTGAAAAAAATAATAGCTTGAGAATAGCTTGTTAGAATAAAGTGAAAAATAGCCTTTTCTTCGAAATCTTGTTAAAAACTAAATACTCTTATCGAATTTGCAAAACAGTATTTAATTTTTTATTGGATAAATTATTATCAAAAATTTTATCTGTATACAGAGTGTTTGGAAAAGTTGGTACAAAAGGAGGTGAAAGTAAAGCCAAAAGTAGTAAAAAAAGTTGCTATAAACATTGGTCCTCCGGAGCACCGGATATATGGCCTTCCAAAGGAGTCTTATCATTTGGATATTTTTTAAAATAACTTTCTTTCTGATTAAAATAATGGAATGAAAATTGTAGGTAATAATCATACTATAAGGGTCTTTAACTATCGTAAGTTTCATCAAAATCGGTTATAAATGAGTAGTTAGAAAACTATCCTTATTTATAACCGATTTTGATTAAACTTATAATAGTTAGAGACCCTTATGGTATGATTATTACCTACAATTTTCATTCCATTATTTTAATCAGAAAGAAAGTTATTTTAAAAAATATCCAAATGATAAGACTCCTTTGGAGGGCCATATCTAGTAACGGCGTTCCGGAGGACCAATGTTTATAGGAACTTTTTTTACTACTTTTGGCTCTACTTTCACTTCCTTAAATTTTGTACTAACTTTTCCAAACACCCTGTACATCAAACATCTTCAGAAATATGTATTTGAATAAATATATTTGTTCTCACTTGAACACCTTGGAATATTTTGGAAAGTAAGCACTCATGTTTATGAGAACTTTATTTTTTGTTTTGAGGAGTTCGCCAGGTAAATTTTGACATTTGCGATTCGGGACACCCTGTATTAGCAATTAATGTTGGTTATAAAATCTTATTTTACCAAAATAGGAAACTGAATATTTGTCATATTACTTTTTTAACTTTGGTATCTGATACACTGGATATTTCATAATTTACTCAAAAACTACTTTTCATCATTATGCACAACTAATTCCAACTATTTTGATCTATAAGTATGAAAAAGTCAAATCAGTATCTAAAGGACAATATTCTGATAAAAATTGACATGTATATATCAAGTTCAATTGAATAGGTTCTAATAGGAAAAAAAAATGAAACTGCAAATGTATACCTTGTAAATTAGTTTCTTTGAAACCGACATTTTTATGAAGCCCAAATTGCGAGTACCTTCTAAAACCAATGCAATAAGTTTTCTAAATATCTTGGAAGCTCCATGTGACCCCTCCGGGATCTGTTATGCAATACTTGAGTAGTGCTAAGGGTAACTTTAATATAAAGAAATCGAGACTCGCCCTTGTTTCATGACAAATTGTGTACTGATACTATTATTTGTAATATAATATATTTTTATTTATGCTTAAATATATTCTTATTGTAATATGAAAATTATTGTTGTTAAATATTTATAGTTACGTAAGTGGATAAGCGTATCAAAAACATGTTATTGCAAAAAAGACAACACCACTCTGTTGTAATTAATGACACATTCTGTAGATAATCTGAACCGGGGGCTGCTTTTAAAATATTACCGTCCGCAAGACGAAGTGCTATATTTGTTGCTAAAGAAAGCTTTGAGTTTATTTTTGTTAAATGTCGTTGTTGTACATAGGAATTTGTAACTGTCGTACGATTATTTGCAAGCAATGGTGGAATTTTAAAAGCAAGCTCTAATATGTGCACCCTCCGCACATATATACTCTATGTAGTTTTCTTGAATGTGTAAATATAGAGGTATAATACCAGTTTTTTATTTTTCCACCCAACTAACATTTCCTTTCTTCCACTTTGTGTCGGTTTAGGGGGCCCACGCTTGTAGCTAATTTCTGTCTTTACTAATTTCTTAGTGGGTGCACTTTGGTTTTTAGTTTTTTAGTTTTATTAAAATCCCAACTCGCCTTTCTAAAATGATCGTTTTGTAGTGTAGCTTAATTTTATTTTCTAAGGCAACAAATCAAATTGCAATTCTTATTACGTCACCGGCTTGCATTCCAGATTTCTACTAAATTTGCTATTGGACTGCTTTGTACTAATAAATGAGTAAACTGCACTCTTGAGAGTTAGCATGATTATTATTAAGGGAAGATATACAGGGTGTAACATTGAATGGGGGTCATATTTATATGAAAGCTACCTTTGACCTTTAGAATACATTTCGGTAGTTTTCTCTAATTCTATTTTTGACACCTGAATATTTGTTAACCTTTTTTTTTCGTAATTCTCATACTCTACCCTTGGACAGGCTGGTGTAATTTCAAACTGTATGTGCTAGCCACAAGCGCATAGGTGTACAGAATGTTTTATCAAACTGCATCTTTTTTTATTCATATGCATGTCTTCATATCAGAAATTTGACAATGAAGACACACAAACACGCCGTACCATCCCTAAACATTGAAAGAAATAACTATAAAAAAGTTATCCACACTAAATCTTACTAAAACTTGATAAAACATGTTTCATTATACAAACTCTTTTGATTCCAGTAAAAATTAATACTTTACGCAGAAAGTTACAAAGAGTGACCGCAAAAATCGCCCGTTTTTTCACAATTCGCAGAGAACTAAAGAAAATAGATAAAAATATGTTTTTGGTCTTAAATTACTTGTATAAAATAAAGATGAGCAGGGCTTAGTTTTTTGAAAATTTTCAAAAATCACCCCCATTTAGGGGTTGAAAAGACGCCCAAAATGAAGAATTGAAAATTACCAATAAATTTAAAAACTATTAGCATGTGAATTTTTCTTGATACAAAGAAAGATTTATTCTCATGACTGAAATAAGCATGTTGAATTAGAAAATCCACCCTTAAGCGCCCCCAAAAATAGAGAATATCAGAAATAATTATAAAAATTCCAAAAAAAAAATATATTAAGATAATTCACATGCTAATAGTTTTTATATCGATTGGTAATATTCAAATTCTTCATTTTTGGCATATTTTCAACCCCTAATTAGGGGTGATTTTTAAAATTTTCAGAATACGAAAAGCTATGCTCATTTCAGTTTTTTATGACAAGTAATTTGCGACCAAAAACATATTTTTATGTATTTTTTAAATTCTCTGCGAATTGTGAAAAAACGGGCGAAAATCAAAGGTTTTTTGCGGTCACCCTTTACCTGTTAAAAAACACTTTGTAAACCAGTAAGCTGAAAATCAAAATAAAAAGTCATATTTGAATTAATTTTGGCCATTTGTTTTTTGTCCAGTAGTGCCCTATTGTCATATCACATCAGATGGATTGATATGTGGTTCACCTAAATTAGGTCAGTGCCCCAGATCATTGTCACTGACATTCACAATCTATACACAGTGCTCTAGAAAAATTGTAACAAATACTTTTATTGAAAACTTATTATTAAACGGTGAAAATAATTACTTTCAAGCATAAATTACTTTTAATTACAATTAGAAGCATATTCCACATACCTACTTAATTAGTTAGTATTTAATAAATCATGCAAAAAATAATTTTCTTAAAAACCCGATTTTTTTAATATCTATCACTTCGTCTGCACTGCCAAAAATATATGGTGACTTTAAAATAACACGTAACAAAATTAAAATTATACAAATGCAATCGGGTTTTTTAAATTATTTTCCATTGTAGTTTCACTCTGCCACTGTTAGCTTCATACATTTGGTTTAAAAAGATAACAACAGGCAGCACTGTTCAGTGTGCATTTTTAAAACAGCTTGGCAACTGCTCAATGGTAGCATAAACAGTTTGAAAAAAATAGTACATTGTGTAACGAGTGGGGAAAAGTTGCCAATAGCGCCACACGGACGCAGTTGAAGCACGAGCAAAGCGAGTGCGGAAAGTGCCCAAGTGGCGCTATGGCAACTTTTCCGAATGAGTTGCACATACTATTTTCTATCACAAGCGCTATGAAAATAACATCACGCTGTTGTACTATCTAGCACTTTCCGTGCACCTAACCACCTACACTATAGGTCCCATAGCGTGCGCGCGTGATAGAAAGATTATAACTCAACTATTTGCTTGTTTTAAAAAAAATTAAATTCAGGTTAGTTGAGGATAACGGACTATTACCCCAATGAACTTGAACCCCACTTAACGTTACACCCTGTATAAGGGATTCAAATTTAGAATACATTAATACATTTTTGTGTAAATTTTAACTACAGTTTTGAATTTTCTATTCAGGAAAAGTTGCTTATTAAATTTAAATACTATTTTCTTCTAACGTAATATAAAATCACAGGGCGTAGTATTAACACTAGTAGTTGAAAAAAATATATACATTCACATAATTGTCATTTTTTAAAATGAAAAAAATTTGTAGATTTTTACTTTTGTAAATTATTTTTTTAATTTTGTTATAATTTTTTATGAATCTCTCTTCCTCTGTTTATTTTTTTTTCTATAAAACTGAAATTAAAAGATGTACACTGGCTTAACTTTTATTTTAATTTGAAAATTTCAGTCGACCCGTACCAAATATCCCACCAAGAATACCCGACAGGCCACTCCCAGGGAGACCCAATTAAGATACTAGTCAAAATTTAGGTGTTACTTTTTTGGGACCAATAAGGTAAACTCGCCTCAGCAGATACCTTATTTAAAAAAAAAAAAACAGTTTTTACGAGTGAGAATTGAAATACTGTGATTCTTATAGTGTCTGGACATGAAGACTATGTTTTTCTTCGTTTTTGTATGTTATTTTATAACGATAAATAGTACAATAATTGACAGTAGTACTCATTCAATTTTGTTTGAAACATCAAGACTAGTCTTTAATGTATAGTATTATTAGTTTTCCTTTATTTTATTGTCTGTCCAATCGCAGTTTTAAGTTAATTAATAAGTACTAATTGTATTTATGTATATATGTTAATTTGTATTAAATTTATTTTTAATAATCCTTTTTTTAATTTTGCTGGAATATTAGGGAGGAAAAATTCTGCAAAAATTCTGCAGTACCCAGAAGCTGTCGGGATTAATTGATTAATCACTGTATTACACTCCACTGTGTATGCTTTATATTTCAGGAATAGAGAACAAAAAAAGAAATTAATAATCATGGTATATGACTATTGTTTTTTAAAATATTTGCCTTAAAGGTCAAAACATTTTTGCAGCACTTTAAGCAATTTTTCGATTCCGATTGAGATACATCCAAAACACATTTTGAATGCATCAACCACTTCTTTAGGCATCGAAAAACGTTGGCCTCGTGATTTATTTTTGATGTGCGGAAATAAAAAAAAAGTAATTAGGTGCCAAATCAGAGCTGTACGGTGGATGTCTTATCAATTCGGTTTCTTCAATTCCCAAAAAATCTCTTGCTTGGCCCGATGTGAAAGCTCGCATTGTCCTGGTGGAGAATAATGCGTCTTCGGTTTCCCTTATTTTTCCGAAGGCTTCTGGCACACAAACAACTGTGTACCATTCAGAATTGACCGTTCGACGTTGTACTAATAATGGCTAGCAAATGTCCTGTTTTTCCAAAGAAACGGGTGACCATTTGCTTAGAAGTGGTCTTGGTCCAACTTTTGTTGGATTTGGTTCATCTTGAAAGACCCATAGAGTCAACTACTGTTTACTTACGGGCTCATACGTGTTGATCTACGATTTATCATCTGTAACCATGTCATAGACATGTTTTGAAGCACCGCTATCATATCTCTTAACATTTCTTTCGACCAATCGACTTGAGCCTTTTTTTGTGTTTGTCAAATTATGTCTTAAATTTTTTGATGGACTTTGAGTGTTTAATATAAGAATTGATAAGATCTTCATTTCAAAGGGCTGTTTTCTTATTTTTAAAGTTTTGAAAAATTTGCTTTGAGTTCTAACAGGTTAAAACGAACACTCGAACATAAAACTGTAACACTTTGAAACCATACTGTACACTTTTAAAAGTGTGCCACTAGGATAATTCTTTAAAAAAGTAAAGTTGATTACCACATACTTTATAACTCGTGAGGAGGGTATTGAAAATCAATTACCACATAGGTAATTTTTATTACAATTAATTGTAAATAATTAATTCAGTCAAAAAGTATTGTCCGACAAATTTCAAGCCGCGTTTTTTCAGTCCGACAGCTGGAAATCGGAATTTTCATGGGATATGATAAATTGATTACCACATATCTAATTTTCATTATTTCCACTTTTAAATTTACTGTACAAAATAGTGATATAAGTGTCTGACGATCTAATGTCCGCAAATTATTAAAAAATCAAAATCGATAATCGTAATGAAATTTAATTTTTTCACTCCAAAAATTTCATATTTATAAATGGTTATTAATTATTATTATGTAAATTATTATTTGTTTCAAATAAATAATTATAATATTGCTTAATATTTATGCTTAAAAATTTTAAAGTTATAAACAAATTAAGTTATTTTTGACACGATTAATAAATACAAAATTCAACATTCAAACTATTTTCTCCTATAATACTTTAAAAGTTCCCGCCTCATGTTACTTTCATGAGTAGTAGCAATTATAACAGGTTTAGTAGTAAACTAGTATAGTACAATCATGGGCAACTTAAAGTCACCACCATCCGAGCGATTCTCTTTCTATCGCGCCCCACTACAAATTCTTGGTGCGTATTTACATTACAAAGCATTTCGTTAATAAGTTAAAGGATGATAGATTTACTAGAAAGAGCTAGGTCGTCTATTCTCAGTATTTGCACTATTTGGAACCTCCTGAAAATAAATACCTACTCAGGTTTGCCTTTTTCTCTCTCAAGTCTTCATTCACGTTTGTTATTTTTCTTTACAAAAGTTTTCCTATTTTTCTAAAAGAAAATCCCAAAACTTTTGTGCATAATTTTTTTATACCAAACATACTTTCTTGAAATCGTTTAATTCCTTTCTTGATATTTATTTGGTTAAATTGAACATAAGAGATTTAGAATTACAAGAATAAAACGAAAAATATCTATATATTTATATGGAATTTTGCTTAATATATGAAAATACCTTATTAGAAATCATAAATACATGTGCACATTTTTTACGAAATTTTTTTCATCTTTTTTTGTCAGACTGACGATTTGCGGATATATTTTTGTTGGACATTACAATTTTTGCTTATAAAAAACACTTTTCTATCGTGTGTTATTTTTGTTCAACATGTGGTAATCGATTTATCATACCCCGTGAAAATTCCGATTTTCAGCTGTTGGACTGAAAAAATGCGGCTTGAAATTTGTCGGACAACAATACTTTTTGACTGAATTAATTATTTACAATTAATTTTCCTAAAAATTACCTATGTGGTAACTGATTTTCAATACCCTGTCATTTTGGCATATTTTGGCCGGTAGACACGTCAATGTTGGAAGAATTTCTGTCGGACAAATTTAAATCGGCATTTGCAACAAAATTTCCTGTAACTTAAGCTAAAAAAAGGTGTGGTTTTGACGTTTCAAGACCCCGGGAAATTGTCATGTTTTTGAACTTTTCCGAGTGGAAAAGCGGAGGAATCGAGAAGAGTCGCTGAGGATGCGTGCAGTAGACTTGTCAAAACAAAGCTCCTCACGAGATATAAAGTATGTGGTAATCAACTTTCCAGGGGGGCCTGTAATGCGGACTATTAGAAATGCGAACAATGATGTTTACAAATTTAGATACAGAACTACATTTAATTGCCACCATAGCCTGAAAAGTTCTTTATTAACGAATTTAATACTCTTTTAAAGTACAGTAAAACAGATTATGTTAAGAATGTTTCTACCTTTATGTAATAGTAACTATTTTAGTATTATGAAGGATTTTGGAATGCATAAATGCGGGTTTAAGAACCAGCCGTAAATTTATGAGATTTTATTTTTAAATATTTATCTAATTATTATAACCACCTCATTCATCATTTTCTTCAAAAGTGTAGTGCTTCTTTCCCTGTCCAGGATACTGCTTAGGAAGAGTCGCTTGAAACATTTTAACATTTTCAAATAAAAAGTATAAGCCATAAAAACCAGCTATTGTTCCTAGAAATTGCAACCATAAATACCACATGGGCTTTCTAAACTTCGCATTTACATCATAACGATCCTCCCTGACCAGATCAAACTCGACATGCAACTGAAACAAATTTTAATTACTTCTTTAAGAAAACGTGTCTAATTTAAAATGACATGTTAAGAGACACATATCTAATACACCTACCGGTTCATTGAAATTCCTTTTCAACTCGGGATTATCCCATGGGTAAAAGGGATCCTTGGACTCGGCCGATTGAAGTGGTAACTCAGGGTAGTCGCCATATCCCTGTCCATCATCTGGATAAGGTTTGTACTCTGCCAGAGGTATTCCGTATTTCTCTGCAGCAGCTATCTTTTCCTCTTCTGTTTTAGGAAACGGTGCTGGCTTATAGTCTTTATTCCAGTCTACAGAAAATAACATTAAATTACATAACATAACCTAAAATACTACAAAAAATATTCTATATTTAGTATACTTACGATTTCTAACGGCAGTAAGCAATACCGCATTATTTTTTAACCACGACTGAGGAATTCTTGTTTTCACCAGGGAGTTCATTTTTTTTTAATTAAAGTTAATAAGATCAAAACATCAAAACGTCAAATGTCAAATATGACTTTTGAGGGGTCTGTTTGTTTGTTAATTTGTAGTTAGACATTGGATAATAAGGAAAATTTTGCAAAAGTAAATGCAAAATCAAAAGAAATCGAAATAATATTATATTAAATTATCTGCGTAATGTTCAAATATTTTTAAAATTAATTAATTTTTCGATCTAAATCGACAAATTAACAAAATTGAAAGTGAACAGTGTGACCAATAATGTGAAAAAATAGGGCCTACATTTTGACATTGACAGAATCTTAACAGTTGGCAATTTAGGTTGACCTAAATGTTAACCTAACTTTGTACTGCATTAATAAAAACAATATTAATTTAAAAATGATTCACAGTTTGTTTATAATAAATTCTCAGGGGTAAGCTTGTTGGAATTTAAAAATATTTAACCCTTATTTAACGTTGTTTCCTAGAGATGTGTTTCTTGAAAAACACTGGAGAAGTGTTATATCTAGATCAGTATGTGATTATTACTTAGAAGCCCAGAGGGCAAATGGAAATGATATTAATCCTGTAATAGCCACCCCTCACCACTATCTCATTTCTATTCAAAGGGGCGGTGTGAGTTTTGTAGCTGTTTGCATGGAAGAAATACCACCTCTGTTTGTAATCGAATTTTTACACAGAATTGTCGATACATTCCAGGTCAGTAATAACTCGGTTTAGGATATATTTAATATATGTTCCATTTTTTAGGATTATTTTTCAGACTGTACTGAATCTATAATCAAAGAAAATTATGTGGTAGTGTATGAGGTACTGATAAATAACATTATTGATTGCATCTCTATCTTCATTTTATTTTATAGCTTTTAGATGAAATGTTAGATAATGGTTTTCCTTTAGCAACTGAGAGTAATATCCTTAAAGAATTAATTAAGCCTCCAAATATACTAAGGACTATTGCTAACACAGTTACAGGGAAAACAAAGTAAGTTAAGGGCACATTTAAAATGTGAGAAATTATTGTTCTTTTTTTTAGTGTAAGTGATATCTTACCTACCGGTCAGTTGTCTAACATTCCATGGAGAAGATCAGGGGTAAAGTATACTAACAATGAAGCATACTTCGATGTAGTGGAAGAAGTTGATGCTATCATTGATAAATCTGGTGCTACTGTATTTGCAGAAATTCAGGGATATGTAAGATTCCATATATGTTCTTTAGTAAGTCCCTTATGAAATATATATTTTAGATTGACTGTTGCATTAAACTTAGTGGTATGCCTGATTTGACACTGTCATTTGTTAATCCAAGATTATTTGATGACGTTAGTTTTCATCCATGTGTAAGATTCAAAAGGTGGGAGGTATGAAAATATTAAAAACTTTCTTTTACATTTGTATTTTTATTATATATCTTTTAGGCGGAAAAGTTGCTTTCTTTTATACCACCAGATGGTAATTTTAGATTAATCTCTTATCATATTGGCAGCCAGAGTGTTGTCGCTATACCTATTTATGTTCGACATAATTTGTCTATTAAAACTGGTGAACAAGCTAGGTTGGATTTGACTGTGGGGCCAAAACAAACACTAGGTAGAACAGTGGAAGGTAAGCTTCTTTTTATAGTCAACTTTTGTTACAGTTCCTTGGCTCAAAATAATTATATTTAGCCTAACTTACCTACATCCAAAATTTCTTAAAAATTTTCTGTTTTTTTTTTGGAACAATCCAAAAATGTGACCATCGGTTTTAACTATTTTCGAGATGTGAATTTGTACATTTAAATGAGGTTTTTAATGCTTTTCTTAATAAATTTTAGAACGTACAAGTGTATTTGCCAATCTTTTTTTGGTATTTGTTCAAAGACTACACATTATTTTTTTTTAGAATAGCAGAAGACTTCATTTGGAAACTTTTAATTCCAGTGATTTTTTCTTTGAATAAGTAGTTTAGTCATATTTATAGTTTAAAAGTCAAAATAAAAAAAAATTATCAAAATGACCGCTGCTCTCTACAATGCATAAATTAATGCAAAAAACTGAAATGAGGTATTTGGATCATTTCGGCTTTATTTCCTGAAACTGTTGCATCTATGCAGTTTTGCTTCACTGCCAATCATAGGTTTCACGATACCCTACAAAAAGCAATCAGAGAGTGTTGAATCTAGTAAACGAGCCGGACAGTTTATAGGTGCATCGTGTTCCCTTACTATCCATCGGTCAGTTCAGTCAACAATTCTCTAACAGTTAGAGAGAATTGTTAGATGTGGCAAATTTGTTTTTCTTGCAGAAAATTAAGTAATTTTCTCTGTTTAAACAATTTGATATCAGGGGGTGAGAATAAACTTGTCAGTGACTCGAATCTAGACATTAATTTTGAAGTGATATTGGTAAGTTTAGTGGCATGATGGTTTCGTAGGAATAAGTAAAGTCATTAAATAAATTAGTTACACCTTGGTAAACATGTTTCATCTATAAATAATTTTTTTTTATTGAAATTTAGATCTAGAATCCTTGAATGAAATGACAAAAAGCAATCTTTGTATCAACGGGCACTTTTTGAAAATGGTACGGGTATAGTGGTTGTTTTTTTAAGATATCATAAACCATACAGCTTTACCCAATACACCAAAATTATGGCTTATACTTGTATATA